AGTTACAGTGTGTGTGTTAGTTACCATGTGTGTGTGTTAGTTACATTGTGTGTGTGTGTGTGTTAGTTACAGTGTGTGTGTGTTAGTTACATGTTGTGTGTGTGTTAGTTACATGTTGTGTGTGTTAGTTACATTGTGTGTGTTAGTTACATGTTGTGTGTGTTAGTTACATTGTGTGTGTTAGTTACAGTGTGTGTTAGTTACAGTGTGTGTGTGGCTATCGGGGGGGGGGGGGGGACTGGATAACCTTGAGGAAGGCGACGTAGAGCAGCAGGGCGAGAGGAGACAAACTCCACAGAGAGAGAGAGATGGCGAAATCAGAGGGAGTGAGTGAGAGTGAGTCAGAGTGAGTGAGTCACAGTGAGTGAGTAACAGTGAGTGCGTCACAGTGAGTCACAGTGAGTGAGTCACAGTGAGTGAGTCACAGTGAGTGAGTCAGAGTGAGTGAGTCACAGTGAGTCACAGTGAGTGAGTCACAGTGAGTGAGTCACAGTGAGTGAGTCACAGTGAGTCACAGTGAGTCACAGTGAGTGAGTGAGTCACAGTGAGTGAGTCAGAGTGAGTGAGTCAGAGTGAGTCACAGTGAGTGAGTGAGTCACAGTGAGTGAGTCCCAGTGAGTCACAGTGAGTGAGATAGCACAGTGAGTGAGAGTGAGTCACAGTGAGTGAGTGAGAGTGAGTCACAGTGAGTGAGTGAGTCACAGTGAGTGAGTGAGTCACATTGAGTGAGATAGTCACAGTGAGTGAGTGAGTCACAGTGAGTGAGATAGTCAGAGTGAGTCACAGTGAGTGAGTCAGTGAGTGAGAGTGAGTCACAGTGAGTGAGATAGTCACAGTGAGTGAGTGAGTCACAGTGAGTGAGATAGTCACAGTGAGTCACAGTGAGTCACAGTGAGTGAGATAGTCACAGTGAGTGAGTCAGTGAGTGAGAGTGAGTCACGGTGAGTGAGATAGTCACAGTGAGTGAGTGAGTCACAGTGAGTGAGTCACAGTGAGTGAGTCAGTGAGTGAGAGTGAGTCACAGTGAGTGAGATAGTCACAGTGAGTGAGATAGTCACAGTGAGTGAGTGAGTCACAGTGAGTGAGATAGAGTGAGTCACAGTGAGTGAGCCACAGTGAGTGAGAGTGAGTCACAGTGAGTGAGTGAGAGTGAGTCACATTGAGTGAGATAGTCAGAGTGAGTGAGTCACAGTGAGTGTGATAGTCACAGTGAGTCACAGTGAGTGAGTCACAGTGAGTCGGGCCACGCATGGCCCCCGCGCCGAGAGTGAGAGACGCCAGCCGCTCGGTCATCGCTGCCACCCGGGCCTCTTGATCCACGCGGACCCCGAGGGCCCCGCGGACGCCGCGGGAGCGCGGGGCCGCCCTGGGCCGGGCCGAGGCCCAGCCGAGGCGGGCAGGGGCCGCCCCGGGCGGGGCCGCGCGGAGCACGCGGTCGGGGTTGAGGTGGCCCCGGGTGAAGGTCGCCACCGCGGCGCGGTGCGCGGCCTCGGTGCGATCCAGGAGACGCCGCAGGGACGCGCGGCCCGCGGGCCCCATGGCGCCCCCTCCCACGTGCTGCCCCCTCTTCACCCCTCTCGCGTCTGCCCCGGTCCGAGCCTCGTGGCCGGCTCAATGGGCCCTGGGCAGGAATGGAGGCCGGGGCCCTCCTCACTCCGGGGTCCCGGGAGACCACGCCCCCCCCCACCCCGTGTGGACTCGGCGTCCTGGTTGCCATGGGGACGCGAGGCCCGCAAACAGCGCGGAGACTGCCGCTCTCACTCACTGTGACTGTGACTCACTGTGACTCACTGTGACTGTGACTCACTGTCAGTGTCACTCACTGTGACTGTGACTCACTGTGACTCACTGTGACTGTCACTCACTGTCACTCACTGTGACTGTGACTCACTGTGACTGTCACTCACTGTGACTGTGACTCACTGTGACTCACTGTGACTGTCACTCACTGTCACTCACTGTGACTGTGACTCACTGTGACTGTCACTCACTGTCACTCACTGTGACTGTCACTGTGACTGTCACTCACTGTGACCCACTGTGACTGTGACTCACTGTGACTGTGACTCACTATCAGTCACTTTGACTGTGACTCACGGTGACTGTGACTCACTGTGACTCACTGTGACTGTCACTCACTGTCACTCACTGTGACTGTGACTCACTGTGACTGTCACTCACTGTCACTCACTGTGACTGTCACTGTGACTGTCACTCACTGTGACTCACTGTGGCTGTGACTCACTGTGACTGTGACTCACTGTGACTGTGACTCACTATCAGTCACTTTGACTGTGACTCACTGTGACTGTGACTCACTGTGACTGTGACTCACTGTGAATGTCACTCACTGTCACTCACTGTGACTGTCACTGTGACTGTCACTCACTGTGACTGTGACTCACTGTGACTGTCACTCACTGTCACTCACTGTGACTGTCACTGTGACTGTCACTCACTGTGACTCACTGTGGCTGTGACTCACTGTGACTGTGACTCACTGTGACTGTGACTCACTATCAGTCACTTTGACTGTGACTCACTGTGACTGTGACTCACTGTGGCTGTGACTCACTGTGACCCACTGTGACTGTGACTCACTGTGACTGTGACTCACTATCAGTCACTTTGACTGTGACTCACTGTGACTGTGACTCACTGTCACTCACTGTGACTGTGACTCACTGTGACTGTGACTCACGGTCACTCACTGTCACTCACTGTGACTGTGACTCACTGTCAGTCACTGTGACTGTCACTCACTGTGACTCACTGTGACTGTGACTCACTGTGACTGTAACTCACTGTGACTCACTGTGACTGTCACTCACTGTGACTGTCGCTCACTGTGACTCACTGTCACTCACTGTTACTCACTGTGGCTCACTGTGACTCTCTCACTGTGACTGTCACTCACTGTGACTCACTGTCACTCACTGTGACTGTGACTCACTGTCACTCACTGTAACTGTGACTCACTGTGACTGTGACTCACTGTGACTCACTGTGACTGTGACTCACTGTGACTGTCACTCACTGTGACTCACTATGACTCACTGTTACTCACTGTGGCTCACTGTGACTCTCTCACTGTTACTCACTGTCACTCACTGTGACTCACTGTCACTCACTGTGACTCACTGTGACTGTCACTCACTGTGACTCACTGTCATTCGCTGTTACTCACTGTGACTGTCACTCACTGTGACTCACTGTCACTCACTGTGACTGTGACTCACTGTCACTCACTGTAACTGTGACTCACTGTGACTGTGACTCACTGTGACTCACTGTGACTGTGACTCACTGTGACTGTCACTCACTGTGACTCACTATGACTCACTGTTACTCACTGTGGCTCACTGTGACTCTCTCACTGTTACTCACTGTCACTCACTGTGACTCACTGTCACTCACTGTGACTCACTGTGACTGTCACTCACTGTGACTGTGAATGACAGTCACTGTGACTCACTGTCACTCACTGTTACTCACTGTGACTGTCACTCACTGTGACTCACTGTCAGTCACTGTGACTCTCTCACTGTCACTCACTTTGACCCACTGTCAGTCACAGTGAGTCACTGTCACTCACTGTCAGTCACTGTGACTCTCTCACTGTCACTCACTGTGACTCACTGTGACTCACTGTCACTCACTGTGACTCACTGTCAGTCACAGTGAGTCACTGTCACTCACTGTGACTGTCACTCACTGTGACAGTCACAGTGAGTGACAGTCACAGTGAGTCACAGTGAGTGAGTGACAGTGAGTGAGTCACTCACTGTGACAGTCACAGTGAGTGAGTCACAGTGAGTCACAGTGAGTGAGTGACAGTGAGTGAGTCACAGTGAGTCACAGTGAGTGACAGTGAGTCACAGTGAGTGACAGTGAGTAACAGTGAGAGAGTCACAGTGAGCCACAGTGAGTAACAGTGAGTCATAGTGAGTCACAGTGAGTGAGTCACAGTGAGTCACAGTGAGTGAGTGACAGTGAGTGAGTCACAGTGAGTGACAGTGAGTGACAGTGAGAGAGTCACAGTGACTGACAGTGAGTCACAGTGAGTGAGTCACAGTGAGAGACAGTGAGTGAGTCACAGTGAGTGACAGTGAGTGAGTCACAGTAAGTCACAGTGAGTGAGTCAGTGAGAGACAGTGAGTCACAGTGAGTGAGTGAGTGAAAGTGAGTGAGTGACAGTGAGTGACAGTGATTGACAGTGAGTCACAGTGAGTGAGTCACAGTGAGTCACAGTGAGTGACAGCGAGTCACAGTGACTGACAGTGAGTCACAGTGAGTGACAGTGAGTCACAGTCAGTGACAGTCACAGTGAGTGACAGTGACTCACTGTGACTCACTGTGACTGACAGTGAGTCAAAGTGAGTGACAGTGAGAGTCACAGTGACTTACAGTGAGTGACAGTGAGTGACAGTCAAAGTGAGAGTGACTCACTGTGAGTGACAGTGAGTCACAGTGAGTCACAGTGAGTGACAGTCACAGTGAGTCACAGTCACAGTGAGTCACAGTGAGTCACAGTCACAGTCACAGCGAGTGACAGTCACAGTGATTCACAGTGAGTGACAGTCACAGTGAGAGTCACAGTGAGTGACAGTCACAGCGATTCACAGTCACAGCGAGTCACAGTGAGTCACAGTCGCAGTGAGTGACAGTCACAGCGACTGACAGTCACAGTGAGTGACAGTCACAGCGACTGACAGTCACAGTGAGTGACAGTCACAGTGAGTGACAGTCACAGTGAGTCACAGTCACAGTGAGTCACAGCGACTGACAGTGACAGTAAGTGACAGTCACAGTGAGTCACAGTCACAGTGAGTGACAGTCACAGTCACAGTGAGTGACAGTCACAGTGAGTCACAGTGAGTCACAGTGACAGTGAGTCACAGTCACAGTGAGTGACAGTCACAGTGAGTCACAGTGAGTGACAGTGACAATGAGTCACAGTCACAGTGAGTCACAGTGAGTCAGTCACAGTGAGTCACAGTCACAGTGAGTCACAGTGAGTCACAGTCACAGTGAGTGAGAGCGGCAGTCTCCGCGCTGTTTGCGGGCCTCGCGTCCCCATGGCAACCAGGACGCCGAGTCCACCCGGGGTGGGGGCCGTGGTCTCCCGGGACCCCGGAGTGAGGAGGGCCCCGGCCTCCATTCCTGCCCAGGGCCCATTGAGCCGGCCACGAGGCTCGGACCGGGGCAGACGCGAGAGGGGTGAAGAGGGGGCAGCACGAGGGAGGGGGCGCCATGGGGCCCGCGGGCCGCGCATCCCTGCGGCGTCTCCTGGATCGCACCGAGGCCGCGCATCGCGCCGCGGTGGCGACCTTCACCCGGGGCCACCTCAACCCCGACCGCGTGCTCCGCGCGGCCCCGCCCGGGGCGGCCCCTGTCCGCCTCGGCTGGGCCTCGGCCCGGCCCGGGGCGGCCCCGCGCTCCCGCGGCGTCCGCGGGGCCCTCGGGGTCCGCGTGGATCAAGAGGCCCGGGTGGCAGCGATGACCGAGCGGCTGGCGTCTCTCACGCTCGGCGCGGGGGCCATGCGTGGCCTGACTCGGTAGGGGGTGGGGGGGGGGGGAATGTCATCGACTCTGTCCCAGGCTCGATCCGCTGCTGGATTACGGCCTCCCTCAACGCCCGTACGAGTCGCGGTGGTTGTTGTGGCCATGCTTTGGTGGGGCACGCTGGGTGTGGTGGTGGTGGTGGTTGTTGTTGTTGTTGTTGGCTTGTTACTCCACCAGGTGGTGCTGTCGTTACACGGGCGATACACATTCCAAGTGCCCGACCGAGTCGACAAAAATGTATCCACATTGAGTCGGGAGGACTCTGTCAGGACCGGTGTGTGTGTGTTTTTTCTTCATTTTAAGATGTTTTCAGCCAATTAATGAGTTGTTTATACAATTAAGAGGAAAACTCGGAGGACCCGAAGCAAACCCACGGACAAAGTGCTATTCCAATCATAATCACATTTTTTGTTGCAATTTATTTTTTATTTTACCAACTAAGGCCCACTGAGCTATTTAGCTCTGTCCCAATAGCGACCATGCCACAACTGATAGCTCGGCGAAGTGACTAATCATGTGGATATTTATAGCAGCCAAATATTCTAAACGCGTGGCGTTGATTCTAAATGTGGAGGTAGAAAACCGGAGGACGCGGAGAAAAATCTACGCGACTACGAGGAGAGAGAGACACGCAAACTCCAAATATACAGCAGGCGTCAGGGTTGGAATATAACCCACGACCTCCTGTATACCAGGCGAGGTAGTTAACATCTCCTACCCACCGTGATGATGAGAGAGAGACACACAAACTCCAAATATACAGCAGGCGTCAGGTTCAGAATAGAACCCACGACCTCCTGTATACCAGGTGAGGTAGTTAACATCTCCTACCCACCGTGATGATGATGAGAGAGACACGAAAACTCCAAATATACAGCAGGCGTCAGGTTCAGAATAGAACCCACGACCTCCTGTATACCAGGAGAGGTAGTTAACATCTCCTAGCCACCGTGATGATGACGAGAGAGACACGAAAACTCCAAATATACAGCAGGCGCCAGGTTCAGAATAGAACCCACGACCTCCTGTATACCAGGTGAGGTAGTTAACATCTCCTAGCCACCGTGATGATGATGAGAGAGACACACAAACTCCAAATATACAGCAGGCGTCAGGGTCAGAATAGAACCCACGACCTCCTGTATATTAGGCGAGGTAGTTAACATCTCCTATCCACCGTGATGATGATGACAGAGACACACAAACTCCAAATATACAGCAGGCGTCAGGGTCAGAATAGAACCCACGACCTCCTGTAGACCAGGTGAGGTAGTTAACATCTCCTAGCCACCGTGATGATGACGAGAGAGACACGAAAACTCCAAATATACAGCAGGCGTCAGGGTCAGAATAGAACCCACGACCTCCTGTATATTAGGCGAGGTAGTTAACATCTCCTAGCCACCGTGATGATGATGAGAGAGACACACAAACTCCAAATACACAGCAGGCGTCACGGTTGGAATAGAACCCACGACCTCCTGTATATTAGGCGAGGTAGTTAACATCTCCTAGCCACCGTGATGATGATGAGAGAGACACACAAACTCCAAATACACAGCAGGCGTCACGGTTGGAATAGAACCCACGACCTCCTGTATATTAGGCGAGGTAGTTAACATCTCCTAGCCACTGTGGCGCCCTGCGATGGTGGCACTGCCCGGGAGCGATTTGCTCTTTTTCTCAAGATTGTCCCTGCATGGTGATGATGTTTGTAGAGTTCCAGTGGCACTTGAAGAAGTACCACTGGAACTCGTAGGTAGCTCTATGATATCCGCTTCCGTGGGCCACGAACACAATATTTTTTGTTCCATATTTTATTGCATCCTCTCCCTCCCCTCCACAATTTTTTTCCCGATCGTGCTGTCGACGCCCCGCTATCAGACAAGGAATCCATTCGGATAACTCGGTGTTCGAAAAGTTGCCGCAAGAAAGCTCCTGAGATGCCTCGTTGAAGTGACCTCTGGCTTTCATGTGGGAGGAAAGCGGGACAGCCGGAGAACAACCACCCGGCCTACGCGGGTGCAACACTTAATGCTTCGCACAGATGGATTTAAGAATGCTATCTCATTGGAACCGCGTAGCGCAGGCCCACAGCGTCTGGCGTCTCCGCAGAAGTCTCCCATCCAGGTGCGAGCCAGGCCCGACTCTCTGCCCACAGAGTCCGCAGTGAGAGCGGTCCGCCTGCGTCGCCCGTGGTCGACCCAGGCCAGGAGACGGCGGAGTCGGCCGACCGAGGGAGGCCCGGCGGCCGCGGCGGCGGCGGGGCGGAGCGGAGCCGCGAGAGCCTCGAGGGGGCCCGAGGAGAAGGGGCCCCAGGAGGGGCCCCACCCGAGTTGGTGCTGGGCGGGGTGACGTGGCGGGATCGGTACCGCTCCCTGCGGAAGGTTGACACCAATCTGTTCGGTATCCACCAACCCCCCCCACCCCACCACCACCCCACCACCACCACCTCCGATTAACACGGTTCACTACGTACGGTGCGAAAGAAGTTCAACATGCATACAGCACGCACCCCCTGCCTCCTCTTCCCTCTGCCCGACCCCTCAATGACCCCGGCGATTCGGCGGCAGTGATAAGCGTAAACAGCAAAGTAACGTCTCAAAAGCAGAGCTGGAGGCACGTTCAAAACGTCTTGTTAAATTGCAATTTTATATCCCTGTTCAAAACGCATCAACCCGGCGAATCGCTCGAGACGGGGGACACCTCGTCAGCCCACGCGTGCGACGTCGACTCGCGTCGCAAGGGTTGCGGGTTTCCACGAATGTGTTCGTGCTGACCGCCCCTCGCCCCTCGCTCCACAGGCGCCAGCGGGCGAGCGGTGGTGGCCAGGCCGGGTGCCGGACGGCGCAGGGCGCGACCCCTTGCGGTAAGGTCCCTGAACTCCTCGTTCATCTCTTCGTCAACGAAATGGATCGCGCTCGAGCAATGAATTATCGCGGCTCCTGGCTCCCTCTCGTCTCGTGATAAAACGATCGAGCCATCACGGTTTACCGCGTATTCTTGGACAGGGAAATTGAGTCTTGATTTGAAGCTTTCGTGACTGCAGGAATCCATACTGTGACTTTTACCGAAAGAACCAAAGAGTAGGGAAATTGAGTTTTCAGGTCCGTACGGCGTACAGCCGTTTCAATAACGGGCACATTTGTTTCGTCGATTTGTATTTCTCCCTCGTGATGGGGACTTTGTCGGATGAACGTTGAGATTTATACGGGGCACGGGGTGACCGACAAGGTCTGAACTGGTCTGTGACAAGGCGGGCAGCACTAACCACGCGGTGGCAGGTGTGCGAAACGTCTCGGCAACGATCCGCGTGCCGTTCAGCGAGAGGTTAATAATGATTTATTCGTGAGTACTTTGTGTGGATGCTTTTTTGTTGTTAAGGTAGCAACATTTGAACCGAGATTGATATCGGTTATTGTTTTTTATAGTAAGACGGGGAAAGCTGGGAGAACCCGGAGAAAACCCCACACAGAACAGTGTGAGAGTGAGAGAGAGAGAGGGAAAACATACAAACTCCAAGCAGAAAGGGGCCCGGGTCTGGAATTGAACTCGGGGAAAAAAACATTTTTTGCCGAGAGACGCGAGTTGCCCCACTGCAACGCCACGCTGCACACAAGCTAGGGGAGCGGGATGACCACGTGGGCAATCGTACAGATCGACGCAGAGTCCGTCGGAGGCACCGAGGGCTTCGGCTGAGAGAGAACGACAGAAAGCCAAGACTACTGGAGCAGAGAGCACGTGGAGTAGGGTGAGATGAGAGGTAGGAGAGTGAGACGAGAGGTACCAGAGTGCGTGGAGGGGAGTAGAGTGAGATGAGAGGGGAGAGGTAGGAGAGTGCGTGGAGGGGAGTAGAGTGAGATGAGAGGGGAGAGGTAGGAGAGTGCGTGGAGGTGAGTAGAGTGAGATGAGAGAGGGAGGAGAGTGAGTGGAGGGGAGTGGAGTGAGATGAGAGGGGAGAGGTAGGAGAGTGCGTGGAGGGGAGTAGAGTGAGATGAGAGGGGAGAGGCAGGAGAGTGAATGGAGGGGAGTAGAGTGAGGGGGAGAGAGGTGGGTAGAGACGAGTCCATGGAGAATCTTGAATCGGGGGATGGAGTGCGATCTTGAAACTGATTTAGGATCGGATCGTGAGCCGGAGAAGGGATCGGAGTCGCTGACACGTGGACCCCTCCTCCTCCTCCCCCCGCACCCCTACAGGCGGCACCGGGCGCCGGTGCCACGGCCCGGCCGAGCTGGCGGCGCCTGCAGGAGCGGCGGAGTGCCCTGCAGGCGGTGGTGCACCACTCGACCGCCCTCGGACACATCATTGGAGACATCATGGTGAGCTGTCACCCCTATAGCTACTACTGTCAGCACAGACACCCCTATAGCTACTACTGTCAGCACAGTCACCCCTATAGCTACTACTGTCAGCACAGTCACCCCTATAGCTACTACTGTCAGCACAGACACCCCTATAGCTACTACTGTCAGCACAGTCACCCCTACAGCTACTACTGTCAGCACAGACACCCCTATAGCTACTACTGTCAGCACAGTCACCCCTACAGCTACTACTGTCAGCACAGACACCCCTATAGCTACTACTGTCAGCACAGACACCCCTATAGCTACTACTGTCAGCACAGACACCCCTATAGCTACTACTGTCAGCACAGTCACCCCTATAGCTACTACTGTCAGCACAGTCGCCCCTATAGCTACTACTGTCAGCACAGTCGCCCCTACAGCTACTACTGTCAGCACAGTCACCCCTACAGCTACTACTGTCAGCACAGACACCCCTATAGCTACTACTGTCAGCACAGACACCCCTATAGCTACTACTGTCAGCACAGACACCCCTATAGCTACTACTGTCAGCACAGTCACCCCTATAGCTACTACTGTCAGCATAGTCACCCCTATAGCTACTACTGTCAGCACAGACACCCCTATAGCTACTACTGTCAGCACAGTCACCCCTATAGCTACTACTGTCAGCACAGACACCCCTATAGCTACTACTGTCAGCACAGTCACCCCTATAGCTACTACTGTCAGCACAGTCACCCCTATAGCTACTACTGTCAGCACAGACACCCCTATAGCTACTACTGTCAGCACAGTCACCCCTATAGCTACTACTGTCAGCACAGACACCCCTATAGCTACTACTGTCAGCACAGTCACCCCTATAGCTACTACTGTCAGCACAGTCGCCCCTACAGCTACTACTGTCAGCACAGTCGCTCCTACAGCTACTACTGTCAGCACAGTCACCCCTACAGCTACTACTGTCAGTACAGTCACCCCTATAGCTACTACTGTCAGCACAGTCGCCCCTACAGCTACTACTGTCAGCACAGTCACCCCTATAGCTACTACTGTCAGCACAGTCGCCCCTATAGCTACTACTGTCAGCACAGTCACCCTTATAGCTACTACTGTCAGCACAGTCACCCCTACAGCTACTACTGTCAGCACAGTCACCCTTATAGCTACTACTGTCAGCACAGTCACCCCTATAGCTATTACTGTCAGCACAGTCACCCCTATAGCTACTACTGTCAGCACAGTCGCCCCTATAGCTACTACTGTCAGCACAGTCGCCCCTATAGCTACTACTGTCAGCACAGTCGCCCCTATAGCTACTACTGCCAGCACAGTCGCCCCTATAGCTACTACTGTCAGCACAGTCGCCCCTATATCTACTACTGTCAGCACAGTCACCCCTAAAGCTACTATGTCAGCACAGTCACCCCTATAGCTACTACTGTCAGAACAGTCGCCCCTATAGCTACTACTGTCAGCACAGTCACCCTTATAGCTACTACTGCCAGCACAGTCGCCCCTATAGCTACTACTGCCAGCACAGTCGCCCCTATAGCTACTACTGTCAGTACAGTCACCCCTACAGCTACTACTGTCAGCACAGTCACCCTTATAGCTACTACTGTCAGCACAGTCACCCCTATAGCTACTACTGTCAGCACAGTCACCCCTATAGCTACTACTGTCAGCACAGTCGCCCCTATAGCTACTACTGTCAGCACAGTCGCCCCTATAGCTACTACTGTCAGCACAGTCGCCCCTAAATTTGCCATATATGAAGAAAAAAATAACAACCCAATTAAATTGCTCAATCGAAAATAATATTTAAACTATTTTCTTCTTTGGTTCTTTCGGTGAAGTCACGTAGAATGAGAATAAAATAATAAATTTATAAAATAAAATAACACAATAATATTCTCACGACGTTTCGGCCACAGACAGTCTCGTCCCTTCACCTGATGAAGGCCGCTTGTGTTGTGTTATTTTATTTTATCAATTTATTATTTTATTCTCATTCTACGTGACTTTACCGAAAGAACCAAAGAAGATGAATCCTTGCAGTCACGAAAGCTTTAAATCGAAATATTTTCTTTTTTTATATTCTTTGGGTCTTTCGGTAAAGTCACGTGTAGATACGTTCGAAACATAACCAGGCAAGGCCCCACTGAGCTATGTAGATCTTTTTCAGAAGCGACCTGGCCACAAATGATAGCTAATCGAAGTGGACTATCGTCACGTGGAAATTCATAGCAGCCAAGCACTCTAAACGCACCATGTTGATTCTAAACGTGGAGGCAAAAACCGGAGAAAAATTCCATGCACATAGCCACGCGTGCCTTAATAGGTGCTCGCAAACAGCGCTTGCACCCCGCGTCTTTTGAGAGCCGCTATCTTAAACGGAGGCGCGGATATATGATGATGCAGTGTCACGGAAAATGTCGGGGTAGAGATGAGGGGGAAGAGATGGTGTGGCCGGACAAAGCCCGAGCAACAGAATCGTCACGCCGGTTCTCATTCGGAAACGAACACACCAACTTGGGGAGTTGAGTCCTTATCGATGAACATGGTTGGCTACGTACGGTGCGAAAGAAGTTCAACAACATACGTACATCAGTCCGTTGAAGGCCGTACGGCAGCCCTTTGTGTGTTTGTGAGTGTGTCTGTGTGTTTGTCTCTGTGTGTGTGTGTCTCTGTGGTTGTGTCTGTGTGTGTCTCTGTGTGTGTGTCTGTGTGTGTGTCTGTGTGTTTGTCTGTGTGTGTGTGTGTCTCTGTGGTTGTGTCTGTGTGTGTCTCTGTGTGTGTTTGTGTGTTTGTCTCTGTGTGTGAGTGTGTCTGTGTGTTTGTGTGTCTCTGTGTGTGTGTGTCTCTGTGTGTGTGTCTGTGTGTGTCTGTGTGTTTGTCTCTGTGTGTTTGTCTCTGTGTGTGAGTGTGTCTGTGTGTTTTTGTGTCTCTGTGTGTGTGTCTGTGTGTTTGTCTCTCTGTGTTTGTCTCTGTGTGTGAGTGTGTCTGTGTGTTTTTGTGTCTCTGTGTTTGTGTGCCTCTGTGTGTGAGTGTGTCTGTGTGTCTGTGTGTTTGTGTGTCTCTATGTGTTTGTCTGTATGTGTGTGTCTCTGTGTGTGTGTCTGTGTGTGTCTGTGTGTTTGTCTCTGTGTGTTTGTCTCTGTGTGAGTGTGTCTGTGTGTTTTTGTGTATCTGTGTGTGTCTGTGTGTTTGTCTCTGTGTGTGAGTGTGTCTGTGTGTCTGTGTGTTTGTGTGTCTCTGTGTGTGTGTCTGTGTGTGAGTGTGTCTGTGTGTTTGTGTGTCTCTGTGTGTGTGTCTGTATGTGTGTGTCTCTGTGTGTGTGTCTGTGTGTGTATCTGTGTGTTTGTCTTTGTGTGTGAGTGTGTCTGTGTGTTTGTGTGTCTCTGTGTGTGTGTCTGTGTGTTTGTCTTTGTGTGTGAGTGTGTCTGTGTGTTTTTGTGTCTCTGTGTGTGTGTTTGTGTGTCTCTGTGTGTGTCTGTGTGTTTGTCTCTGTGTGTGTGTGTGTTTCTGTGTTTGTGTGTCTCTGTGTGTGAGTGTGTCTGTTTGTGTGTCCCTGTGTGTCTGTGTGTTTGTCTGTGTGTGTATCTGTGTGTTTGTCTTTGTGTGTGAGTGTGTCTGTGTGTCTGTGTGTTTGTGTGTCTCTGTGTGTGTGTCTGTATGTGTGTGTCTCTGTGTGTGTCTGTGTGTGTCTCTGTGTGTGTGTCTGTGTGTGTATCTGTGTGTTTGTCTTTGTGTGTGAGTGTGTCTGTGTGTTTTTGTGTCTGTGTGTGTGTGTTTGTGTGTCTCTGTGTGTGTCTGTGTGTTTGTCTCTGTGTGTGAGTGTGTCTGTGTGTTTGTGTCTCTGTGTGTGTCTCTATGTTTGTATCTCTGTGTGTGAGTGTGTCTGTTTGTGTGTCCCTGTGTGTCTGTGTGTTTGTCTGTGTCACTGTGTGTGTATCTGTGTGTCACTGTGTGTGTCACTGTGTGTGTCACTGTGTGTGTGTCACTGTGTGTGTATCTGTGTATGTCACTGTGTGTGTGCGTGTGTCACTGTGTTTGTGTGTGATGGGGCAGTTGTGGAGAGAGTGGAGAGCTTCCCATACCTGGGCAGTGTGCTTATGACCGGCTGCAGTTTAACAGCAGAGGTCTCACTCCGAATCAGTCGAGCAGCAATATCTTTTCATCGGTTGCGTAACGCTGTGTGGAAGCTACCTGGTCTGTCGCTCTGCACTAAGCTTCAGGTCTTCTCGGCCACGGTTATTCCCTCCCTTCTCTACGCTTGCGAAACGTGGACCCCCTTAATGGAACATTTTCGCCGGTTGGAAACATCTAGGCTGGCCTGCCTACGATCCGTCCTGGGGTTAACCAGGCTGGATTGTGTGAGGAGCTCACAAATCCTTGAAAGATCTGGGCAAAGTCCCATCCGTGAGCTCCTCCGGCGGGCACGGCTGCGTTGGCTGGGTCATGTAGCCCGCATGCCCAGCCACCGCATGCCGAAACAGCTTTTGTTCGGCCGGATCGAGGGGGCTAGACGGGCGTGGCACGGGCTAGAGAAGAGATGGAGTGATGTGGTACAGGAGGACGTGGAGCTGAGTGGACTTGCCGATGACTGGTACCAGCGGTGTCAAGATCGGCCTCTGTGGAGGAGGCTCGTGAAGGACGCTACTGGGCAGTTGGAGGCAGTCGCCCTCCAACAACAACGGAGGGCGGAGGAGCGACGCTCACAACAACGAGCGGAGCGCCAGGTGGCTAAAGCACAGCAGGTTGGCACGTCAGTCATCTCAGTCAGTCGACCCGTGGCACTTGGGTCTGCCCCATGACCTCCTGCCAGCGGGCGTTCGACACTTCACGCGGCCTCAAGGTGCACATGGCCTGGCACAAGCGTCGTGGTGACGTCACCGCCACTTAGTGGCTAATGGCGGTTGTTGTGTGTCAGTGTCTGCGTCTGTGTCACTGTGTGTATCTGTGCCACTGTGTGTGTCACTATCTGCGTGTGTTTCACAGTGTGTGTGTGTGATCGTGCTGCATGGGCGTCAGTGCTCGTTACGGGAGCCATGGGCCGTGCCCCCCCCCCCCGGGTTCCACTCATCCTGCCCCCCCCCCGACTCCGCCCCCCCTCTTCCCCCAGAGAGAATACGATGAGTACCTCGCGGTGCTGATGGACGCGCATCAAGGCGTCGAATACGAGGTGGGTAGAAGGCAAAGGTGCAGACCGGCAAGTGCTCACTCGCACACCCCGCCCCCCCCCCGAAGGAGTTCTAGAGAGCTCGAGGGGTATTTGGTCTTCTCTTCCACGCTGGCCAGACAGCTCGGAAGAGGTGGGAGTCTCACCACATTGTCCGGCGGGCTTAGCTGCGGTGGCACCCATTGTGTATGAACTGCTGGGTGGGTAGAGGCGGTGCGGGTGGGAGGGTCGGGGGCTGGAGATTAATTTAAGGAACTCCTCTGGTTGACTCCGACGAGACGATGAAGCCCGAGGTCACTTGCAGAAGGCTTCGTGTTGGAGGCTTGGCAGAGATGACCCGGAGGTCAGAGGTAGCTCTCTGATATCCCCTTCTGTGGGGCTCCGTTCTCTGTTCGCGACGAGTCGCACTGCTGCTCGAGAGATTTCCGAAGGGATTCCTCGTCTCATGATGGGGCAGACGACGCAGTAAAGAAAATCTAGAACAAATCATTCGGAGCAATGCGACCCTGCGTGTTGCAGAGCAGCCCACGGAAGCAGGTATCACAGAGCTACCTCCGAGATCCCTTGTTCAATTGACACTCTGGGTTCATGTGGAAGAGCGCAGAGAGGACCCGGAGGTCAGAGGTAGCTCTCTGATATCCCCTTCCGTGGGGCTCCGTTCTCTAACAACACGGAAGGGGTCCCGGCCATCGGACAGGAAAGTAAAAACACTGGAACGGAACGGGCGTCTCTCTGGATTTTAAGTCACGAGTGTGACCACATCGCCATCTGGTGGAGACAGAGAAACACGCCGTCTTAGTCGCATGCCTGTTCAGGTTATCAGGTGCGCGCCGTGGTGGCAAGTTGTTAACTGCCTCGCTTGGTACACAGGAGGTCGTGGGTTCGATCTCGACCCTGACGCCTGCTGCTGTATATTTAGAGTTTGCGTGTCTCTCTCTCTTATCATCATCACGGTGGCTAGGAGATGCTAACTACCTCGCCTGGTATACAGGAGGTCGTGGGTTCGGTCCCGGCCCTGACGCCTGCTGCTGTATATTTGGAGTTTGCGTGTCTCTCTCTCATCATCATCACGGTAGCTAGGAGATGTTAACTACCTCGCCTGGTATACAGGAGGTCATGGGTTCGGTCCCGACCCTGACGCCTGCTGCTGTATATTTGGAGTTTGCGTGTCTCTCCCCATGGTCGCGTGGATTTTTCTCCGGGTCCTCTGGTTTTTCCCTCCGCGTTTAGAATCAGCAACACGCGTTTAGGGTGTTTGCCTGCGACACGTTTCCACGTGACAATATGGGCGATAATTTTTTTGCCAGGTCTCTTCTGAAAAAACAGCTGCATAGCTCAGTGAGCCTTGCCTGGTAAAATAAAAAATAGTTTATTGATTAACCGCGAATAACCCAACCAATAATAGGTACGGCATATTCTAAGATTAACACGATCCATTGTAACTTATCTGACTACGTTAACCCCCCTCTGGTCTTCGCAGGTGATTGGCTGAAAGTGATGACATCACCTTTACTCCCCTATGTAAGAGCGAAGCAGGAAGTCTTCTTGACAATTCTGGCTGTCGCCTGACGAAGCTGGTTGTTATCATCAGCAGCGAAACGTCACAGTGCTCGAATTGTAAATGTTGTGGGGTTACTCTCCAACACACAAGCGGTGTGCTGAAGTAGGGTAGCTACTTGCCACGTTTTATTTACGCGGCAAACCTTGCTACTACTTCACTGTGTCGGGTGGTGGTGGGTTAACGACACATTGATCTTTCCGCGATATAACCCAAAAACCTTTATTGTGAATAATGTTGGTCGCGAAAGCCTGCTACTACTACTACTACTACGCGCTAAACTGAGCTGTGTATAATTACAACAGCCACCACCACCACCGCCACATCAACATCTCCAGGGGACACAGGCGACCTGCATCACGAACCACAGCGAGTCCTCGTTCCACGCGGTAGTCGTAGCAGGCGCCTTCATCAGAAGTGCCGCGTTCAGCGAAGATGATTTCCCCCGTGATGTTGTTTGGCCAACACCGGTTAAAACCGCGTGGTATTATTTTATTTGCTTGCCATGGGGGGGGGGGGGGGGGGGGGGAGGAAACCCCACGCAAGAACCGGCCGGGCAAAACTCGCAAACTCAAACTGAGAAAAGCGGCGGCCGAGTCGGGAATGGAACCCAAGGCCCCGTGAGGTTGCGAGGTGCGGGGGTGCCAGCGCCGCTGTTCAACTTTGCCTCCCGTGGCGGCCAAATGATGATCGTCGTTCGTGATTATGTGGAAGAATACTGGTGAGAATAATAGCGCACGGAGGGGGAGATTTTTAGACGGCAACTCTCCTGCCTCTCGCCCCCCCCCCCCCCCCCCCCCCCCCCACAGGCTCTCATGGCTCAGCTGCGCTGCGTCGGCGAGGGGCAAGACGCGGAGTTGCGGGGGGCCGAGCGGGAGCTGTGGGACCTCGAGACGCAGGCCAGGGCCGCACTGACGCGGAACGAGCGGTGGGAGAGACGCGGCGAGGGGTGGGGGGCTACGTGTGCGTGGGCAGGGGGCGCCGTGTGGGTGGGGGGCTACGTGTGCGTGGGTGGGGCTTCATCATCATCACGGGCATCATCACTTTCATCGTCATCATCATCATCACTGTCGTCATCACCGTCATCATTTTATGTCATTGTCATCATCGCCCCTGGTCATGCGGATGAGGTCAGGGTGCGTGACTTCTGGTCGAATGGATGAGGTCACGATGACCCCACGCCTGGGACCCCCCCCCCCCCTTTCCTTGTGCCACAGACTTCGCGTTCAGCTGCGGGAACAGGACAGGGAGCCACCGACTGCGGAGACTCCGGTTCTCACCCCGGGTGTGTGTGTGTGTACACCCTGTGTGTGTGTGTACACCCTGTGTGTGTGTGTACACCCTGTGTGTGTGTGTACACCCTGTGTGTACACCCTGTGTGTGTGTGTACACCCTGTGTGTACACCCTGTGCGTGTGTACACCCTGTGTGTGTGTGTACACCCTGTGTGTGTGTGTGTACACCCTGTGTGTGTGTGTGTACACCCTGTGTGTGTGTGTACACCCTGTGTGTGTGTGTACACCCTGTGTGTACACCCTGTGTGTACACCCTGTGTGTGTGTGTGTACACCCTGTGTGTGTGTGTGTACACCCTGTGTGTGTGTGTGTACACCCTGTGTGTGTGTGTACACCCTGTGTGTGTGTGTGTGTACACCCTGTGTGTGTGTGTGTACACCCTGTGTGTGTGTGTACACCCTGTGTGTGTGTACACCCTGTGTGTGTGTGTACACCCTGTGTGTGTGTGTATATATACCCTGTGTGTGTGTGTACACCCTGTGTGTGTACACCTTGTGTGTGTATACCCTGTGTGTGTGTACACCCTGTGTGTGTGTATATACCCTGTGTGTGTGTGTACACCCTGTGTGTGTGTACACCCTGTGTGTGTACACCCTGTGTGTGTGTACACCCTGTGTGTGCGTGCGTGCACACAATGTCTATGTACGCTCTACATACACATAGTGTGTACACACGATGTATGTAGAGCGTGTATGGGGATTGTTTCTTCTCTCCTGTTCTGCATTGGATTCTTCTGGGTTTTCCAGATTACTCCCACGACTAAACACACATACACAGCAGGGAGTGAGACAGACACTGCAGGGAGTGAGACACTGCAGGGCGTGAGACACTGCAGGGAGTGAGACACTGCAGGGAGTGAGACAGACACTGCAGGGCGTGAGACACTGCAGGGAGTGAGACACTGCAGGGAGTGAGACAGTCACTGCAGGTCGTGAGACACTGCAGGGCGTGAGACACAGCAGGTCGTGAGACACTGCAGGGAGTGAGACAGACACTGCAGGGCGTGAGACACTGCAGGGAGTGAGACACTGCAGGGAGTGAGACACTGCAGGGCGTGAGACACTGCAGGGAGTGAGACACTGCAGGGAGTGAGACACAGCAGGGTGTGAGACACTGCAGGGAGTGAGACACTGCAGGGTGTGAGACAGACACTGCAGGGTGTGAGACACTGCAGGGCGTGAGACACAGCAGGGCGTGAGACACTGCAGGGAGTGAGACACTGCAGGGCGTGAGACACTGCAGGGAGTGAGACACTGCAGGGAGTGAGACAGACACAGCAGGGAGTGAGACACAGCAGGGAGTGAGAAAGACACTGCAGGGCGTGAGACAGACACTGCAGGGAGTGAGAGAGACACTGCAGGGCGTGAGACAGACACTGCAGGGAGTGAGACACTGCAGGGAGTGAGACACTGCAGGGAGTGAGACACTGCAGGGCGTGAGACACTGCAGGGTGTGAGACAGACACTGCAGGGAGTGAGGCACTGCAGGGCGTGAGACACTGCAGGGAGTGAGACACTGCAGGGCGTGAGACAGACACTGCAGGGTGTGAGACACAGCAGGGCGTGAGACACTGCAGGGAGTGAGACACTGCAGGGCGTGAGACACTGCAGGGAGTGAGACACTGCAGGGAGTGAGACAGACACAGCAGGGAGTGAGACACAGCAGGGAGTGAGAAAGACACTGCAGGGCGTGAGACAGACACTGCAGGGAGTGAGACAGACACTGCAGGGCGTGAGACAGACACTGCAGGGAGTGAGACACTGCAGGGAGTGAGACACTGCAGGGCGTGAGACAGACACTGCAGGGAGTGAGACACTGCAGGGAGTGAGACACTGCAGGGAGTGAGACACTGCAGGGCGTGAGACACTGCAGGGTGTGAGACACTGCAGGGCGTGAGACACTGCATGGAGTGAAACAGACACTGCAGGGAGTGAGACACTGCAGGGAGTGAGACACTGCAGGGAGTGAGACACTGCAGGGCGTGAGACACTGCAGGGAGTGAGACAGACAATGCAGGGAGTGAGATACTGCAGGGCGTGAGACACTGCAGGGCGTGAGACACTGCAGGGCGTGAGACAGACACTGCAGGGAGTGAGACACTGCAGGGAGTGAGACACTGCATGGCGTGAGACACTGCAGGGAGTGAGACACTGCAGGGAGACCCTGCAGGGAGTGAGACAGACACTGCAGGGTGTGAGACACTGCAGGGAGTGAGACACTGCAGGGAGTGAGACACTGCAGGGTGTGAGACACTGCAGGGAGTGAGACACTGCAGGGCGTGAGACAGACACTGCAGGGAGTGAGACACTGCAGGGAGACACTGCAGGGAGTGAGACACTGCAGGGCGTGAGACAGACACTGCAGGGAGTGAGACACAGCAAGGTGTGAGACAAATACAGCAGGGAGTGCAGGTCAGAGGACTGCTGTTAATAAAGGTGCCACTGTGCACGCGTTGGTGAATTTCTTTCGCACCGTAGTATGCCATCTGTGCTAATTGGCGGTGCTATTAGCACGGTTACATTGTAGCCGCTATTGGCCAAAGCGTTGCAATGCTGCAAAATCACCGGCATATTGCAGCGGCAGCAGCATCTCCCCCCCCCCCCCCTCTTCCCTCCTCGCGCAAACGCAAGGCAGGACCCTCTTGAAAAGGAGTCGTGAGACTCCTGGGTGAAAAGCGCCGTCATTAACGACGACACGAATAATGCACCGCACACCCTCAGCGTGTGCCCGCAGCCTGCGTCACTCTGCAGCACGGGCTGCTGATGAGTTCACCCTCTACCCCCAAAACACAGAGCCCCCTCCCCAACCCCCACGGACCCCCGTGCCCCCCCGGGCCCCGTCGGCGGCGTCCCGCGTGCGGACCCTGCACGCGGAGCTGGCGGACGCGACGCTGGCGCTGGGCGGCGTGAGGGCTCGGCGCCAGCAGCAGCTGGTGCCCAGCACGGAGACCCAGCTCCTGGGGCAGAGAGTGCGCGACATGCGGGTGAGCCAGTGAGTCTGTGTGACACGGCGCCGCGTGGGGCAGCTGTGGAGAGAGTGGAGAGTTCCCCACGCCTGGGCAGTGTGCTCGTGACCGGCTCCGGATTGACAGCAGAGGTCTCACTACCGAATCAGTCGAGCGGCAATATCTTTTCATCGGTTGCGTAACGCTGTGTGGAAGCTACCTGGTCTGTCGCTCCGCACGAAGCTTCAGGTCTTCTCGGCTACAGTCATGCGCTCCCTTCTCTATGCTTGCGAAACGTGGACACCCCTAATGGAACATCTTCGCTGGTTAGAAACTTTTAGGCTGGCCTTCCTACGATCCATCTTGGGTTTAACCAGGCTGGATTGTGTGAGAAGCTTACAAATCCTTCAAAGCTCTGGACAAAGTCCCATCGATGAGCTCCTCTGGCAGGCAAGGCTGCGTTGGCTGGGTCATGTAGTCCACATGCCCAGCCACCGCATGCCGAAACAGCTTTCGTTCGGCCGGATAGACGGGCACGGCACGGGCTTGAGAAGAGATGGAGTGATGTGGTACAGGAGGATGTGAAGCTGAGTGGACTTGCCGATGACCGGTACCAGCGGTGTCAAAATCGGCCTCTATGGATGAGGCTCGTGAAGGACGCTACTGGGCAGTTGGAGGCAGTCGCCCTCCAACAACAGAGAACGGAGGAGCGACGCTCACAACAACGAGCGGAGCACCGGGTGGCTAAATCACAGCAAGTTGGCATAGTAGGGGGCACAGGTGGTGCATCAGCCAGTCATCTCAATCAGTCGACCAGTGGTACCTGGGTCTACCCCGTGATCTCCTGCCAGCGGGCATTCGACACTTCACGTGGCCTTAACGTGCACATTGCCTGGCACACTTAGTGGCGAATGGCGGTTGTTGTTGTTGTGCGACACACATGTGGTGAGTGTGTGTGACACCACAGCTGGTGTCACATGTGATTGTGATGCGATTGTAATGCCACTGTGCGATTGTCGGGGCTTAGCCCATCAACTGTGGTTGGGGCCAACACCCGGATTGGCTGGCCTAGCCACGGATTGGCTGGCCTAGCCACGGATTGGCTGGCCTAGCCACGGATTGGCTGGCCTAGCCACGGATTGCTGGCCTAGCCACGGATTGGCTGGCCTAGCCACGGATTGGCTGGCCTAGCCACGGATTGGCTGGCCTAGCCATGGATTGGCTGGTCGAGCCACGCGGCCACCTCCTGACGTCATTTTAACATCGCTGTGAAACGTCCTGGTTCCTCCACCGGTCGCTGGAACTGGGTCGTCGGGTGACGTCGCGACCTTGGGGCACGTCGCGACCTTGGGTCTCGTCGTGACCTTGAGCGAATGGGTTCAAGTCCGTCGTTGTCTGCGTGTTTAAATCGCGCTGTACTTGCGCCGCAGGTGGAGGCAGCCAGACTGGCGCGGTCCACGCAGCGCCTGGACAAATCGGCTCAGGTGAGCTCAGGCGAGCCCACACTTTGTGACTCTTGCGAGTTGGCGGTCTCGGTGATGATTATTATTCCGCTTGCTTACGCACGAAAGACTCCCGTCTCTTCGGGACTCTTCTTCGGGAGGGTCCTGTCAGGTCTCAGCCGTCGGGCGCCCCGCGACCACTTGCCAAGCGCTTCCTCAATAATTGACAAATGTGCGATTTTAGAAAATTTGTCAAACTTTGGACCGTGGCGCCGGCACAGAGGCGGCCGCGTCTTCTCGGAACGACGTCACAAATGATTTTGCGTCCACTGTCGGTAAAGCTGGCGCGCGAAGTAGAAGTATTCAACGGTTAAAACGCACACCGCTGGCAGCGTGGCGGGTTGGAACCGCGTTCCTCTTCGACAACAAGCAGCGAACGCTGGGCCGCAACAACGCCCAGCTCAGGAAATAAGTTCGGCAAAAAAAAAATCGGAGGGCGCACGGGAGGATGCGTCCTTTGCCTTGTGCTCGGGGGGGGGGGGGGGGGGGCGGCGGGGCGAGAGGTCATGGCAAGACAGGATAGGCCGTGCGGAAGTCCGCAAGGGAACGTGGCAGGGCGAGACGCCCGTGTGCAGGGTGAGGGCCTATTGCCCGGGCAGGCGGCTGTGGAGGGGTCCCCGCGAGCCTGGCGACCGACGGAAAGAGAGAACCTCAGAGCGGATGGTGGGAGCCTGAGGGCAGAACCGTGGGTGTCTGGGTTCTCAACGAGTCTGTGGGTCGCCGAGTGTCTCCGTGTTACTCTACAGGTCTCTGTGTGAGTCTATGCCAGGGGTCGGCAACGAAAATAACAATGAGACATTTTTTCGGATTTGCCAAAGGGGCCGCGATGCCACGCGAACACGAGACGGTGGTGGTCCTTAATAAACAACGTCACGAAGCAGTCGAGAAAGAGGCGCAAGCGGTAGCGGAGCCGCAGGTTGCCGACCCCTGGTCTATGCATCTCTTTGTAAGTATGGGTCTTGGCGAGTCCGTGGGCCTCTCTGTGGTGAGTCTTGGGTCTCTGTGAGCCTCAGAGCAGAGGGTGGGAGACTGTCAGGGCAGATATTGGATGTCTCGTCTCTGCCGTGCGGCGGTAGCTGTGGGATCTGGAAGCGGGGGGGGGGGGGGAGAGACGGTGGAGGTATCGAGGTGGTGGTGGCGGCATCAGCGGCTTCGGCCGCGATGACTTCTCGATGTACGTGTGTACGTTGAACTTCTTTCGCGCCATACGTAGCCAACCGTGCTAATCGGAGGTGCGGGTGGAAGGCCAGCAAACTAAACACGAAGCAGTTCTCAAGACGCGAGTTTTCAATCGAGATGTCGAGAGGTCGTGATGGTCACACAGAGCAGTGATCATGAACTCCCTGCTCTTGGCGCGCAGAAACAGGAGCGGGAACTCCTCCGCATCCTGGCTCGATACAAGATCCCACCAGAAGCACAGGGGTACGACGCCCACACTGCAGACTCACTCGCACGTAGACTCGCCCGACACTCGCTCGCACGCGCGTAGATTGACCCCAACACTCGCTCGCACGCACATTCACCCCAGCACTCGCTCGGACACATGTACTCGCCCAACACTCGCACGCACGTAGACTCACCCAACACTCGCACGCACGTAGACTCACCCAACACTCGCACGCACGTAGACTCACCCCAGCACTCACTCACACGCACGTAGACTCGCCCAGCACTCGCTCGGACACATGTACTCGCCCAACACTCTCACGCACGTAGACTCACCCCAGCACTCGCTCGCACGTAGACTCACCCAACACTCGCACCTAGACTCGCCCAACACTCTCACGCACGTAGACTCACCCAACACTCGCCCAACACTCTCACGCACGTAGACTCACCCCAGCACTTGCTCGCACACATGTACTCACCCAACACTCGCTCGCACGCACGTACTCAGCGAAAACACGCTCGCATGCACGTAGACGCACCCAACACTCACACGCACGTAGACTCACCCAACACTCGCTCACACGCACGTAGACTCACCCAACACACTCGCTCGCACGCACGAAGACTCACCCCAGCACTCACTCGCACGCACGTAGACTCACCCAACACTCGCTCGCACGCACGTAGACTCACCCAACACTCGCACGCACGTGGGCCTGAGTGGCAATCTAACTCACTGGAGTGAGCAAGCGAGGATTGTGTTGAATGGATCACGTGGCCAAGCATTCCCATATTACCTGGTCCTGTTCCATGACCTCCTGCCAGTGTGGCTGCTGCAGACAGGAAGCCTTCAACATTTCACATGCACCTAGCCTGGCACAAGTGCGACGCGGGCATGACTTGTGGAAAATAGCAGTTGTGAGGTGGTGCAATGGTTAGCAAACTGCTGTGAACCTGGCCGACTTCTATTCCCAGCCAGTGTGTCATCGGCTTACCCCTAGTTCGACTCAGTCTTGAACAGGTACCCAGTGTGTGAACATCAGCACTGGAGAGACAAAGGCGGCCAGGCGTGGTGCTGGCCACAACACCCCATCGAGCGGCATTGTCCTTAAATACTCAAGCACTGGCCCTACAGTTCATGGAGGCTATATGGGGGGGGGGGGGGGGGGGCGGGGTGGATGTTGCCACATGTCCAGGTCAAACGTGAACATCCAGACAATCCCAGCTGATGCTAATGACACATACAAAAAAGGCACGTAGCCAACACAACCGGTGGTGGACGACGTTCCACGGATGTCCGGGTCAAACCCACGTGCGAGGTCAAAACTGGACGTCCGTGGAACGTCCACCGCTGGTTCTACTGGGCTATGCCCAGTAGAGGAGCACCTATTCCTCAATGCTCATGTGAGCTGGAGGCCCCACTTTTGACTTTTGGCCACGAGAAGGGATTGCGTGATCACTCGAGAGAGGCGACCGCGTGGGAGATGTTGGGAGGAATTGCCGTTCCGAATCTCGCGTCCACCTCCTTCAGATTGCACAGAAGTCCACGGTTAGCCGGTGTGGCTACTGCAGAGACACCGGCGGGTAACGTCGCGCGATTGCCGTGCGCCGCAGGGAGCTGTGGCGAGCGATTAACGACGGTGCGAGGACTCCGCTTCCGCGCGACGCAGACCACCCACGTGGGAGCCTGGATCCTCCTCCTCCGACGACAACGACAAGGCAATAGATCAATGCGAGCGATTCTCATGTGCGAGGCGGTTTCTCCAATGTTCCACCCAGTTTGTTGGGATGCCCTGGACGACGATGCTGTTTTGGGCACCTCCACCTTGTTGCGCAGCCATCGCTTTCTTAATGCGGTCACGGGTGGTGGTAACCTCTCCTGGTTCCAGGCATATGCTGAACTTCTTTCGCACCGTACGTAGCCAACCGTGCTCATTGGAGGTGTGGGGGAAGAACTAAACCATTTACTTTCCTACTTTGCCCCCCCCCCCCCCCCGCCGCCCTCCTTAGTTCACGTTCAATGCACTGGCCATGAAAATGTTTCTTGTCAGGAGAGTTTGTTGCTTAGAACCCGAATGAATCTCCCGTCCAGCCTGAACTAGAACGTTCATGTCACCCGTCTTGCAGGTGGTGATCAGACATCCTGCTTGGTGCAATGGCAGCGTCACGTCGGAGTGGCCACGTGTCATCCCCCCCCCCACATCTGAGTGAAGACTGCCGAGACTTGTTGCCACAGCGAGGCTGCCTTGTTGTCGCGTGAACGCGGTTTTCCTGAGCACGCTTCCGCGCCATGTGTACACCACACCAGCCCAGGTAAACGTGGAGTCCAACTGCTGACGGGAGTTGGAGGCCCGGCCAGTTAGAACGTCGCCAGCCACTGTCCGCCCATACCCTGCGCACGCCACGTGAACTCAAGACGCACGACACAGTGACAGCTTAAATGAAACCTATTTATTTTGCCGAATGTCCACAAGTTTTGAAAAAAAAAATCAAATCAACAACTCACCGAGTCTGTTCATTTACATTCGGAAAGGCGCGAGCTCAAAGCAGCCAAGGTCGCCGAGGCCCGGTCACTCTTGGGGAGGGGGGTGGGGGGGGAGCTGGCTCCCGAGCAGCGTCAGGAGCCTCTCGCTCCAGTACGGAGCCAGACCCCCAAGCCTCGCGAACGCACCATCCCTGGCTCGTGGTAGGGACAGCACTGGGTGGACGCTCCTGCCAATCACGGGGGGCTAAAAAGCCCAGGGAGGCGGACGGGCCACAGAGCACCCCCCTCCTTCCCCCCTCCTTCCCCTCCCGTCAGCTACAAATTACAACGCAAATCCATACCAAAAGGAAGACGGCCCCGTGACACGGCCTGTCACACACCGGGTCCCTTTGCCTCAGGGATTCCCATTTCTCGCTCGATATTTTCCAGGCAACTGGGGTTAGGTGGCACTTGAGCCAGTCGTAGCCACGGCCGTAGTGAAGAGGTGCACGGGCAGCCGCCTACCCGGACAGAGCCCCGGCCGAGATTAAATTAAAGCCCCCACACGCTCGCCCCCTTCCCCACCACCCCCCTCCTTTGATTAAACAACTCGGAAGGGCCCTTGACTGGACATTGCCGGCCGAGAGTCAGATTCGCACCCTTGGCCTGTCCCTGCGAGACTCCCCAAGACTACCGCTCTCCCCCCCCCGCCACGCAAAAACCCAACACGCGAAGCGCTAACGGTAACGCGGCCGCCGGTGACGAGTGCCGGAGCAACACAAGCGGTAGCCGCGGGCGTGAGAATTAACGACGGCATCTGTTTTGCTAACGGCGGTGCACCTCGACGAAGAGACATTTATACAGATAAAGAAATCAGACCAGCACACAAAACGTCATGTGCACGTAACCCGTGTTTTTTCTCTTCATTACAACGGGTACCAACCAGCGTCGCAGAGGTACACGGTGTGTGTGTGTGTCGTGCACTCCGCGTGTGGGTGTGACGCGCACGGTGCCTTGTGCGTGCTGTGGCGAGCCCTAAGTTTACGGAATAGTTAGTGCTCAGTGTGGTGTGATGTGGTCATTTGCATGGTGCAACTGTGGGCTGTGCTCAGTGTGGTTTAGCGGTGTGGTGTGCTCTGTGTGTGGTTCGCTCAGTGTGGTGTAGCGGTGTGTGCGCTCGGTGTGGTGTAGTGTTGTGTGCAAGGTATGGAGCGGTGCGCCGTGTGTGGCCTTCCCAGTGCGGTGTCGCTGCGTGGCCTAGCGTGGTCTAGCGTGCTCAATGCGGCAGCGTGCAACTGGCCGCTCACATGCGACGCGTCTCGTGCCTCTGCCAGTGCCGGGTGGTTTCGTATCCCGTGGGTGCGTCGGATCGCACGCACGGCTCTCTCTCCGTGTTACCGGGAGCTGGGTGTGCCGTGGGGGAGTGTGCCGCACTGGAGGGGAGTTGGGGGGGGGGAGGAGGGGTGTGCCGCTGGCTGTGCTGTCAGGACGTGGCCTGGGCGGCCGATTTGCGCATTGACTCGAGAGCCTTCTCCCTCAGGGCGCGCTCCAGGTCGTCGAGCCCTCCTGAGTCGTGCTGCCCCCGCCCAGCCTGGACAGCCCAGACAGACTTACACTCACACACCCGCACCCACACCCACACCCACCCGCACCCACACGCACCCACACGCACCCACACGCACCCACACGCACCCACACGCACCCACACCCACCCACACGCACTCTCTCACACACCGGCACTCATGCACACTCTACACCCATACATACACCCACATGCTCACACACTTTCGCTCAATCACACTGGTACTCTCTCCGCAACAGCCACCATTCGTCGCTAAGTGGTGATGATGGCACCAAGGCGCTTGTGCAGGACGTGGCGCACTGAGGCCACGTGAAATGCTTTTTGTGCTAGTTTGTTGTCCTTCCCCCACACCTCCGATTAGCACGGTTGGCTAAGTAGGGTGTGCGAAAAAAGTTCAACATTCATACAAGTGTCGAACGCTCGCTGACAGGTCACGGGAAAGACCCAGGTGTTATTGGTTAGCTGCCTGAGACAGAGGGCTTAATGATTGTTAGCAGAGGATCTGTGACCCCGAAAGAAAAGCCGAGACCTTTTCATGGTATTATGGGGCTTAACCAATGTCGCTCAAGCAGACACACACACCTGCTCACAATTCGCACCGATCCAGACACACACACTCACCCGGGCACCTACACTCGCTAACATTCGCACTCATACACCCCCGCATACACTCACCCACCCACCCACACACAGACTCGGACACGATCACACTCGGTCATCCGTACAGAGGCATCTGCCTGCTCAGAGAAACTTGGTTCAGCTCGAGCAACATCAAATACCTCACCCAGCCGCACACGACAGACCCATAATAAGCACCACACACACAATCATATACCACTTGCCCATGACTGAGGCCATCACATATCCATCTCCATTAACCTTAACAAGCTTAAAATATTTTTATATAATTTTTTTTGTCTTTTCCCTCGGTCGTGTCCCCATCGTGCTATCGGTGTCATATCAAGCGACAAAGAATCATTTTGGAAATGGCGCAGAGCAGTGCGACCCACTCATGTTAGAGAACGGCCCACGGAAGTGGACGTCACAGAGCTACCTCCGAGGTCCCTTCAAAGTGACCGCTGGTCTAGACAGTAGGGGGAAGCACTTTCCCACTCGCCCTGCTATCTCAAGAGTAATGTTCCAAACGATATTTTGAATTCTCCGAGCAGGAATGTTGCCCACCAACTGACTGCGCTTTGAGAACGTGGCTTAATAAAGAGCCGTGGCGGGTTCAGCGCTCCGACCTCGGAAATCACCCCGGCCTCCTCTCGAGAGGAAGTTCAGAGCTCGTCGCTGTGGGACAGCACCGATGACCGGGACACCCAGAGCCGGGACACCGAGAGCCGGGACACCGCCTGCACAACGTAGAAGCAGCAGCACCAGCTGGCTCTGCTAGGTGCTCGGTGCCACCAATCTCATGAGCGAGAGCGGGCACAGATGGTGGCTGCAGGGGGGTATCTATCGAGTGTGCAGGCGGTGCAACTGCCGCCGGGGCCCACGGGCTGGAGGGGTTACGAAGAGGGTGGAGTGGCAAATTGGACTGCGTTGGGGAGGCCCATTGCATTCCTTGCACCAGGACCCAAGGTCACCACTCGAACCCCACTGCCAAAGACATTTTTTATATTCCCACAACCCTATTCACAATCACCGATATATATAAAAAAAAATCTAAACCAGAGCTATTGATTGCAGGCCGCAGACTGCGTCCTGCCCTCGGCACCAAGGCGCCTAAACGCCAGGGCTAGGGGGAACCTTCGGCCTTCCCCCGGGGGCCGGACACGAAGCCGTCACTTTATTTCACATGGCCTGCGGAGGGCCCACGGGCAACATTAAAATCGGTCACTGCGAGGGCGTTGGCCACACTCACCGGGTACCGGAGAGGGGGGGGGGGGGGGAATTTTCGACTGTGGCAAAAACAAAAAAACCGCCACGTTTAGCAGTGTCGAAGGCGCCGCGCTCAAAGTCACTTAGGTCAAGAGGCCCTTTGCGGTGACAGAAGTGACTGCGCCGTGAGCGTGTTGATGCGACTATACCGCCCCCCCCCCACCCACCACCCGACCAGAACAACGGTACCAATCGGAAAGTCCTATCCGGCCCTCGGTAAGGAAGAGAGGCTCCCCCCCCCCCCCTGCCCTGCTCGCCACAGGCGCACGGCCGCCACCCCGGGTTCAATGAGAACAAAGCGGCGTTCGTTTCACCCGGCGTGGCGACCGCGCACGCACACACACAAACACACCACACGTAAGCCGCACGCGGGGTCACTCAGCGCCCTGGCTGACCCTGCGTGCGAGGGGTTAGGTCGAGGCTAGGGGGGGCACCTCGGGGGCCAGGTCGCCGCGCTCCTTGCGATGCTTCTTGTGTTTGCGGTGCTTCTTCTCCTTCTTGTGCTGCTTCTTCTCCTTTCTCTTTTTCTTCTTCTTGGACTCGCCGTCCGACACCTGCCCCACACCGCGGCCACAAGGCTCAGTTTAGTCGAGCGACGAGCAATGCGCGCACAAGCGCACGTGTATCGATGTCGCAGGGCAAGGTTTAAAAACAAAAACGCGTCGACGTTGGTCGGCTGTACGGCGCGTGGCAGGGAGAGCGCACGCGTGCACGTACCACGACATCACATGCACGCAAAGACATAGATCCCACATGCACCCTTAACGGACTGTTGTTAACGAGCGCCTCTAAAGGCCGGGACGGCACACGAGGGGGTGAGCGGCCAGCACCACGCCGTTATCTCCCCAGTGGTGAATTTACACGCCGCACCGGGTACTCCTTTGAGGCCGAGTCGACCTCGGGGAGACCCGGGACCGGTTCAGATTATCGTCACTGGTGTTGGCCGTGAGCGGGAATCGAACTCGGGTGGGTCAGGTTCATAGTGCAGCGCGCTATCGCCTATGCTACCGCTTGCCACAAAGCCAAAGATCCCCTAATACAGCCTTAACAGACTGTTGGGGCAAGTACTGTCAAGCGAGTAGCACCTATTGAAGGCCGGCACTGCACACGAGGGGGCTGGGTGGCCAACACCACTCCCGGCCGCCTTTGTCTCCCCAGTAGCGATGTTGACACACCACACCAGGTACTCAATTTTAGCTGAGTCGACCTAGGCGAAGGCCCCACACACACTCACACTCGCTCTCACAGGCATCCACAAACCTGGTCAGGGGATGCGCTGTGGGAGTCGTCATGGTCCACGTGGGGAGGGGACGCCAAGGCGTGGGGGGGGGCCCGGGCGGTTGCGGGGGGCTCGCTGCCCGAGCGCGAGTGAGAGGGGGAGCGCGAGGCGGAGTGAGACGCAGAGCGCTCCGCCGGCCGCTTCACCCCCACGCGCGGCGGCTCACCGCCGCCGCCGCTGCCGCTGCCGTGACACAGATGAGCAAAGCGTGAGCACAGCCATCGCCACGGAGACTCGGAGACACGCCCTAACCCTACTCCTGACGACAACGCTAACAACACCTCCCCCAACACACGACCCTGGCCTGCTACTCTAACCCTGCCCCCACCACTCTAACCCCTACCCCAAACTCTAACGCTACCACACCAACTCGATGCCGAACTAACCCGACCTCAAACATCGGAATCCCTACCGCACATCCAAGTTGCGCCGGTTACCGGGCCAGCACAGTACCGGTGGTTTATCCCCGGCAGTTTTACCAAGCAGAGCCGGGGGCAACTCAAAACACGGCGTGACGGCGTCACGGGAAGCAACGCGGCGCCTGCTGACCCGCTGCGCGCTGGCACCGACTCGGCACGGCTCGGTCACGCCGGCGGCGAGCGGCGCCCCGGCCGGCGCGGCGCTCACCGCGTGTCCGGTGGGGCGGGCGCCGGCGCCGCTCGCCGCTCCTCCGCCGGCTTCTCCCCGTCCAGGGGAGGGGCCGCCGGGCGGGCGTCCCAGCGGGCGCGGGTCTTCGCGGGGGGGGGCGCGGGCGGAGGGGAGGAGCCCCCCCTGTCGGCGGACCCCCTCTCCGGCCCCGGCGACGGGGACCCCCGGTCCCTGCGTCGCGGGGGCGGGGGGGGGCTCGCGGAGGCGGGGCGGCGCGGGAGGGGCCTGGGGGAGGGGGACCTCGCTGGCACCCCCTTCTTCTTCGCTTGGGGCGGGGGGCTCGGGGGAGGGGAGGGGGACCCGGAGAGGGAGGCCTCGCGCTGCGAGGGAGGGGCGGGGGGGGACGCCCCGCGCCTCGCCGCGGGGGGCGAGGCGGACCCCTGCCGCCGCTTGATGCGCTGGGGGGGCACGGGGGAGGGGGAGGGGGAGGCGCGGCGCTTGGCTCTGGGGGGGGGCGGCGGCGAAGGGGTGCGGGAGGGGGCGCGGCGGCGGGGGGGCGGCGGGGGGGACCCGGAGGAGCGGCGCTTGGGCCGAGGGGGGGGCGGGGAGGAGGGAGAGGGGCGGCGGCGCACGGCGGGGGAGCGGTGACGGTGGCCGGGAGATGGGGACCTGCGGAGGTAGAGAGACGCGGTTCAGTACGGGGGAGATGGTCTTGCACAACACACAACAGCACAGCAGAGACACATGTACAACACACAACAGCACAGCAGAGACACATGTACAACACAACAGCACAGCAGAGACACAAGCACAACTCACAACAGCACAGCAGAGACACATGTACAACACAACAGCACAGCAGAGACACAAGCACAACTCACAACAGCACAGCAGAGACACAAGCACAACTCACAACAGCACAGCAGAGACACATGCACAACACACAACAGCACAGCAGAGACACATGCACAACACACAACAGCACAGCAGAGACACGTGCACAACACACAACAGCACAGCAGAGACACATGTACAACACAACAGCACAGCAGAGACACAAGCACAACTCACAACAGCACAGCAGAGACACATGTACAACACAACAGCACAGCAGAGACACAAGCACAACTCACAACAGCACAGCAGAGACACATGCACAACACACAACAGCACAGCAGAGACACAAGCACAACTCACAACAGCACAGCAGAGACACAAGCACAACTCATAACAGCACAGCAGAGACACATGCACAACACACAACAGCACAGCAGAGACACATGCACAACTCACAACAGCACAGCAGAGACAGAAGCACAACACACAACAGCACAGCAGAGACACATGTACAACACACAACAGCACAGCAGAGACACATGCACAACCCACAACAGCACAGCAGAGACAGAAGCACAACTCACAACAGCACAGCAGAGACACATGTACAACTCACAACAGCACAGCAGAGACGCATGCACAACACACAACAGCACAGCAGAGACACATGCACAACTCACAACAGCACAGCAGACAGAAGCACAACTCACAACAGCACGGCAGAGACACATGCACAACACACAACAGCACAGCAGAGACACATGCACAACACACAACAGCACGGCAGAGACGGCCGTACGACACGGAGGAGGGCTCGGGGGGGGGGGGCCGGAGGGAGCGGTGCGCGACCTGCGGTGGGCGTGCGGCGACGGGGTGCGACGACGGCGAGGGGAGGGCGAGCGTCGGCGACGTCCGGGGGAGCCGCTGCGGCGCCGCCTGAGCGAACAACAGCACCACGTTACACACGCACAGATCCCTCCCCCCCGCGTAGCCTCACCAGACGGTTTGGCAAAGTGCCGTTAGCGAGCACCTATTTAGGCCGGCAAGGCGCACAAGAGGTTTGTGTGGCCGGCACCATTCCCGGCTGCCTTTGTCTCCCAGTGGAGATGTTTACACACGACGCTAGGGACTCATTTAGGGCTAAGTTGACCTTAGGGAGCGCCCAGGACCTGTCCAGATATCACTGGCCACCGATGTTTGAAAGTCGCCAGGAAACAAACCCAGGTCGCCGAGTTTGCAGGACACTGTTGCTAACCTCTATACGGAGGTACTCCTCCATAACCACGCTCACTACGTCACTACCTGCGAGCAAGTCTTCAAAAATGTTCCCGACACCATCGGACATTTGAAGCCAAGCAGCAGTGAGCCTGGTTAGCGGATGGGTGGTCACCAGAGCTTGCCTGGGGGTTTTAGGACGTGGGGCTGCCAGCTGAGTCGATCGCACGGCCATGCCGAGCGCAACCCCCTCGTTTGCAACGGCCTTCATCAGGCCTCTTGGTTTCCTCCATCTTGACAAAAGACTCATTAACGAATTTGGCCAAACATCCCGGCGTAACTTTACACTCTTCCAAAAGCCCCCCTGGGACTCGGCGAGGCTTTTAATTGCCATAGGCACTGCATCGCACAACGGGGGGAGGGGGCTAGGAGGGGGACCTCGGCGCCATCTCGTCAGGCTCCCGCCCGTGACCGTGGGCGCTAGGCCGGGCGTAGAGCGTGCGGGTGTGCGCTGGGCGATGTCCCACCTTGGTGGGTGCGGTGGGGGGTGGGCTTCCACCGGTGGCGCCCTGGCAGCGTGAAAACGACACAAACGCACGCGCACCACGGCTTTACCCATCGGCACACACAGTCCCGAGAGCCAGCGTCGGTCACCACCGCCTGCTACACAGCGCTACCTCCACCACCGCCTCCTACACAGCGCTACCTCCACCACCGCCTGCCACACAGCGCTACCTCCACCACCACCGCCTGCTACACAGCGCTACCTCCACCACCACCACCTGCTACACAGCGCTACCTCCACCACCACCGCCTCCTACACAGCGCTACCTCCACCACCACCTGCTACACAGCGCTACCTCCTCCACCACCGCCTCCTACACAGCGCTACCTCCACCACCGCCTCCTACACAGCGCTACCTCCACCACCACCGCCTGCTACACAGCGCTACCTCCACCACCGCCTCCTACACAGCGCTACCTCCACCACCACCGCCTCCTACACAGCGCTACCTCCACCACCACCGCCTCCTACACAGCGCTACCTCCACCACCGCCTGCTACACAGCGCTACCTCCGCCACCACCGCCTGCTACACAGCGCTACCTCCACCACCTTGCCTGCTTCACAGCGCTACCTCCACCACCACTGCATGCTACAGTGTGCTACCACCACCGCCTCCTACACAGCGCTACCTCCACCACCACCGCCTGCCACACAGCGCTACCTCCACCACCTTGCCTGCTACACAGCGCTACCTCCACCACCGCCTGCTACACAGCGCTACCTCCACCACCACCACCTGCTTCACAGCGCTACCTCCACCACCACCGCCTGTTCCACAGCGCTACCTCCACCACCACCGCCTGCTACACAGCGCTACCTCCACCACCACCGCCTGCTACACAGCGCTACCTCCACCACCGCCTCCTACACAGCGCTACCTCCACCACCACCGGCTCCTACACAGCGCTACCTCCACCACCACTGGCTCCTACACAGCGCTACCTCCACCACCACCGCCTGCTACACAGCGCTACCTCCACCACCTTGCCTGCTACACAGCGCTACCTCCACCACCACCGCCTGCTACACAGCGCTACCTCCACCACCACCTTGCCTGCTACACAGCGCTACCTCCACCACCACCGCCTGCTTCACAGCGCTACTTCCAACACCACCGCCTGCTTCACAGCGCTACCTCCACCACCGCATGCTACACTGTGCTACCCGCGCAGCTCTCACGCTGCCATGAATTTCACGGTACTTATCCCCCACCTGGTTGTTCAATTGGAGCTCCCATATTCTTTGGTTCTTCCGGTAAAGTCGGAGCTCCCAGTCAACCTTTGCTCAGCAGGTCGCTCATTCTCCTCTGCTGCCCCATTGTCTGGAACTCCTTTGCCCCAGCCATTTGTGCTGTCAGCTCCCCGTCTCTGTTCAAGTTCAGGCTGCAAGAACTTCTTCTTCTCCTCTGCCTATAACTGGCTGCGTCGACTCATAGACTCAAGAGACCCATACTCAAGAGACCCATAGCCTCACAGAGACCCATAGACTCAAATATATACCTGCCTCTTTCTATAACAGAACTGTGCCGACTGTGTGGCGTTTTGAGATGCGGACACATTTAAAAGCTAATTAAATCCACTTTGTACTATATCACAGAATTTACTCCCTGCAGGCTTTAAAAGGATATATTTTTTTACATTAAGGATCAAATTCCTCTCTGCCCACGGGTAGATCCATGGCTCACCAACTCCCCCCCGTGTGTATCTCTGTGTCACTGTGTATCTGTTGCTGTGTGTTTGTCTCCGTGTCTGTCTCCTGGCACAAGCTCCATGGTAATGTCACCGCCACTTAGTGGAGAATGGCGGCTGTAAGTTGTGTCCGTGCCTGTATGCGTCTCCGTGTCTCGCTGTGTATAAGGGTGTATGTCTCAGTTCTCTGTGTGTCTGTATATTTGTGTCCGTGTGGATTACCTCCATATGTCTCTGTGTCTAAGTCTACGTGTATCTCCATGGCTCTGTATATCTGTGTGTGCCTGTGCATATTACTGTGTGTGTATCTCCGTGTCTGTTAGTATACCCCTCCACGTCTCTATCTCAATGTATCTGTGTATTCTTCCGTGTCTCTCCGTGTGTGTGCGTGTGTCTCTCTACGTCTCTGCTCACGATTACGGACTTTTTTCCAACAATCCAACCCTGGAAGCTCCTAATCTGAAAGCGTTTCCACAGCCGTTCCCAAGATTGAACGGCCAACTTGATTCAAATTCCCGATCTCCATGAACAATGCCACATGACACAATCGTGGCCTTTGTCATTTGCAGCCAGCGGAGCTTCTACGAGTGGATTATAAACGATGTTTAATTTACCAGGTAAGGCCCAATGACCTTTATAGCGATTATTCAGCAGCAACCTGGCCAGAAATGAAAGCTCAACGAAGTGGCTTATCACGTGGAGGGAAAAACCGGAGGACCCAGAGAAAAATCCACTCGACCAGAGGGAGAGAGACACGCAAACCCAAAATATACAGCAGGCGTCAGGGTCGGGATGGAACCCACGATCTCCTGTATACCAGGCAAAGCAGTTAACATTTAGCCACCGTGGCGGCGGCGAAGACGACGCTACGCTCAACGGCGCGGCCCCCACCTGGGCGGCGAGTGGTCCCTGTGCCGCGGGCGACGCGGGGGGGATGAGTGGGGATGGCCGACCTCCTTCTCAGCCACCTTCACCACTGCCGTCGCCGCCTCCTCCTCCTCCGACGACGATGACGGAGACGAGTCTGAGAACGACACGGAGCGGCGAGAGCCACGCACGGCGAGAAGGGGGTGAGGGAGGAGCGTGGTGGGGGGGGGGGGGGAGATCGTGAGCAGCGCTAACGTTTGGGCTGTGGCACGGGTGTTTTTACTAAAGAGACAAAGATCCCCTGTCTAGCCTTAACAGACTGTTGGTGCAAGTGCTGTGAGCACCGATGAAGGCCGGCACAGCGCACGAGGGGGTGGATGGCCAGCACCAGTCCAGGCCATCTTTGTCTCCCGAGTGGCGATGTTTACACACCGCAACAGGTACTCACTTTGAGGCTGTACACACACACACTTACCGGAGCTCGAGTCCTGGTTCTGGCGTCGGTACTGGCGCCGGGTCTGCACCGAGTCCGGGTTCGTCCCCTTCCTCTCCTCGTCTGAAACACAAGCAGCAGCACCTCGTCAACAGCTCCTCCTCAACCCCCCCCCCACACCCCCAATCAAACATCCTCGTTAACACGTCACCAGCAGCCCTTGTCAATGCACGTGTACAGCCCCGTTCGTCAATCCGCTGCTAGATGAGGGCTCCCCCCCCCCCCCCCCACGTGGATCGTGTGGGGTTTTTTTCCCGCAACGTACGTCACCATGTCGCCGAGTAAGGGTTCGGAGGGACATTGCGGCGAAATCCACTTGCACTGCACCACGCTTGCCGCCTTCACCAACACTCTTTGACGCCACCCCGTTGGCCAAAGCCTCGTTAAACGCCCCTCCCCCCACCGTCCACATCCCCCGCTCGTGCTCACCAGAGTCGGAGGATCCAGCCTTGGGAGACTTGGACAAGGAGCGGCCTCCTCCTCCGTGCCGCTTCACGTCTGCGATGAACGTGAAGAGGAAAGTGCGTCAGATGAAACCATCGCGCGGCAGTGCGAGCGAGCCTCTACCAGCTGTGCGACCAGGACTCGTGGTGCTCGATGGGCATGAGAGGGCGTGAAAAGTGTGGGCCGTGTGGCAAACTATAAAGCTGTTAAAACAATAAAATGTTATTATTTTACCAGTTAAGGCCCACCGAGCTATTGAGCTCCTTTTCGGAAGTGACCTGGGAACAAATGATAGCTCAACGAAGTGGCTTATCACGTGCAAATTTATAGCAGCCAAATACTGTAAACACGTGTTTCTAAATGTGGAGGGAAAAACCGGAGGATCCGGAGAAAAATCCACAAGACCACGGGGAGAACATGCAGACTCAAAATATACAGGCGTCAAGATTTTGGATCGAACCCACGACCTCCGAGATACCAAGCGAGGGAGTTAACATCTCACAACCGTGGAGTAGTGGGCGAGTATGAATCTCCATGTGTGTCAGGTGATTGCGATAAGGGTGTGTGTGCGTGCATGAGCAAGGGGAGTGGGGGGGGAGTGGGCGAGTGAGCGGGTGTATGTGTGTGTGCATGAATGAGGGTTACCCACCTGGGTGAGGAGAGTGAGAGCGGTGAGGGTGGCGAGTTCGGTGAGGTGCCGACCGATGCGAGTGGCGCCGGCGTGGTGAGGAGGCACTGAAGGATCGAGACCGGGATTTATGCCTGTGCCAACACCAGCAGTCACCATCATCATTAGAGAACTACCACATACACCACCCTACATCACCAACACCCCCACCCGAGCACATTTCCCATACTACAACACAACTACACACATCACCCATAGCATACACAATTCTCACACTACCGCACATAGCACTATCATACACCACAACAACAACCGCCATTCGCCACTAAGTGGCGGTGACGTCACCACGACGCTTTGCGCCAGGCTATGTGCACCTCGAGGCCACGCGAAGTGTCACGCTACCCATAGCGCGCACACACCTTCTCACACTACCACACATAGCGCTACCTACCATATACACAAGCACACCGCACACACCGTACACCACACACGTACAACACACACCACCCATCCACATCGGAACATTAGCCACACCTTGCAGACAACCCATGCCGTGCACGCCACGTACCATCCACGCCGAACCTCGCACACAATACCATTCACGACATCACACCGCCACACCACGCGCGACCCTCACGTGCGCGGGCGGGGGGAGGATCGCCGTCCGCGGGAGCGCGAGCGCCGGCGCAAGGACGAGGAGTGGTGGTGGTGCGACGGCGACGGGTGGCGGTGGCGCCGAGGGCTGGCTCGGCGCATGCGGTGAGGCGAGCTGCGACGCCGCGTCGGCGACGACCGGCGCCGCGAACGCGACCTGCACGCACACAAGGACAAAGATCCCCCGTGTAGCCTTGAAAGACTGTTGGGGAAAGTGCTGTTCGCGAGCACCTGTGAAGGCCGGCGGCACGGCACACGAGGGGGTGGGTTGCCAGCACCACGCCCGGCCGCCTTTTGTCTCCCCTGTGGCGATGTTTTACACACCGCGCCAGGTACTACCTCGGGAAAACCAGGGATTGGTTCGGTCGTGAATGGGAATCAAACCGAGGTCACGAAGCACAGTGCGCAAACCACTGCACCACCGCTCCGCATACCATCACACACACACACACGCGACCCCATACAACCACCCGTATCACCACACCACCCATATATAGCCAACACACCACCAGCACCATTAATACCACACACACCACCCATACCTCTACACACATAAACACCACTGCACACCTCCACCCCACCACACTAAACCATTGCGATGCACACTTAAGTTACATCTAAAGCTCAGTCCGCATTACACATTTTTTCAGGCCTTTTGTCAATCCACTGTTGGATGAGGGCCTCCCCACACCTATGTGAAGTTACTTGACCATACTTAACCACGCTGGTCAGTGCGGGCGTCTAATCAAGCGGGAGCACAGGACCGGTTCAGGTCTCACCCGACACAGACTTGAGGCATGGCGAGCAATGGAACTCGGGTCGCCGGGTCCGGAGCGCAAGTGCGCTTCGCCACTGTGCCACCGCTCCACCCTAAGTTTCCCATTACAGCCGGTTGAACGTAAAAGAGTGACTTCTCTATTTAGACGGCCGACGGCGTGCAGTCTCACCGCGAGCGGTGGTGCGGGCGCCGTCGGGAGTGTGAGCGAGAGCGCGAGCGGCGTCGGTCCTTGCCCCGAGCGGCCCGCGCTTCACCGTCCGAGTCGGCCGCCTCCACTTCCTGCTGCTTCTTCGCGGGCAGCGACGGTAGCGGCACCGCCGTCATTCCCACCTCCACTCCCCCCGCCAGCGCCGCGGCCTCCAGCCTCATCACCTCGCTGGGTCCACGCGCGCGCGCGCGCACACACACACACACACAGGCCGAGCGGGCATGAACGTAATACGTAGGCTTTGGATCCGTCAGGTGGTGGAGGGTCTCGCGACACAAGTTTTGCGAGACCATTACAAGGCCAAATCCGGAAATGTAGGGTTGGGTTGTTAATTTAGCTTTCTCGCGTGATTGAGGACCGCAAACACAAGACAGAACAAAACACACATATATGCATGGGTTGTGTTCACGCATTCCAACGCACGTCTGGTCCTCGGCAGAGGTTAAACGGCGATGATGACGATGATGAAGTCGCGTTCCTAGCCGCACAACAAACGAGGTGACGTCACGCGTGAAGACGTCGTCATGGGGAGGCGAGTGAGCGTGTGTGTGACCACGTGATGTCATCGCCTAGGCCGTCATTAATACAGTTATTTTTACGATAGTTAGCGTATGCCCTTGTGTTAGCCGGACAGATGGACAGAGCGAGCTAGTGCATTAACGCTGTAAAACTTGCTAGGAATGCATTAACGATGAAATCGCGAAGTGCAATTGCAGACGTACGGGGTAACCTACACCGCGTGTCGTATCGTGAGAATTCACATCGCATCGTATGGTATTGCGAACGTGACCAACGCGGTGATGCAATTCGGAACCCCTGGGGACAAGGCTGGTGCCCACCTGGTGGTGGAGGTGACCTCGGGGACCGGCGATGATGCCGCCAGTCCATGGTGCGCCGCCGACTGATCGGGCAGCGCCGGCGGCGAGTCTCCATGGTGCGTGCCCGCCGGCGGGTGGCTCATCTGCCCCAGAGCGTGCGCCAGCGCCGACAGCTGCGCGAGGTTGGGCACGGCCGACACCGGCGTCGCGGCCGGCGTCGGGGTCGGCTGCGCGGCGGCGGCGGCGGCGTTGGCGGCCTCCAGGAGAGCGGCGTGGGGGTGGTGCGAGGGGGCGTGGGCCGGCGCCCGTGACGGGGAAGGGGAGGCCGAGGAGGAGGAGCGACGGCGATCGCGACGGCGTGGGGAGCGAGAGTGGGAACGGCGCCTGGACGAACGCGCGCCAAGGCACACGGACAAACACGCGTTCTCACGTGCCCCCAACAAGATCGCACGTGCAGTCGGCACAAGTGATGTTAAGCGAGTGGCACCTACGAAGGCAGGCATGGCACGCGAGGGGGGTGGGTGGCCAGGACCACGCCCGGCTGCCTTTGTCTCCCCAGTGCTGACGTTTACACACCGCACCAGGAACTCATTGAAGGCCTGGACCAGTTCAGACATTGGTAACCGACGCTAAACGCGAGTGGTAACCCAAAGTCTGGTCACCAGGTTCGTAGCGCTATGTATGTACGTTGAATTTCTGCGCTAACCAATGCACCACCGCTCCAACACACCCTCGCAAAGACGACAATAACAGCACACATTCGACCACTCAGTGATGGCGACATCACCACAGCGCTTGCGAGGGGGCGACCGTTGTCTCGGCCATGCGTTTGCGCGAGATGCGCCCATTCACCTTGTGGGGCCGCTCCGACGAGGGGACTTGGAGCGCTCCCGCGCCTTCCTCTCCTCCTCCCTCTTCTCCGCCAGCGCCTCCTCCTTCATCTTCAGTGCTGCCAGCTTCTCCTGTTCCAGCTGAAACCGGCAGCAACAGGAAAGCGTCACCCCTCGGTAGGCTCTCAAGAGGAGGCCAGGAGAGCTCCATATGCTGAGGTTAACTATCCCGGAGCTACATTAATAATAACAATGAACACCCCAAAGCATCTCTGGATGAACAGATGGTGCCTTTTCCAATTCACAAGTAGCACACACGCCTCTAAATCATCCACAGTGCACCCGATCTTGTCAGATCTCGGAAGCCAAGCAGGGATGGGCCTGCGCAGCCCTTGGATGGAAGATGTTCGTTTATAAGTCAAGTGTTATCGGCTGCCACATTGGCCACCTTGTCAACAGGTGGCAGAATCGCAAAATACATTGTTGTACTGCACTGTTCTCCAACACCTATGCTTCCCTCGCCTTGACCAACCCGCACGGAGCAGTAAAGTACTGTAAAATAACTCCCTCGGTCCACACGGTATGGGGAAGTCCTCATCCAGCAGTGGATTAACAAGAGGGCTACACACGTATAATGTGTTCATGTGACGCTGCGAATGAAGCCAAGCATGCTTGGGAAGGACACTCGTGGCTTGAGGTATGTACGTATGTACGTCATGTTCCCATCACTAACGAAACATTACTACTAATTACTAGCCATTTCTAATCACCACGAACCACGGAGCACCGCAAATAATCACGAATCACAAACCACAGCCCATATATAAACATTTAAGTATGTACACACTTTGACCTTCTTTCGCACCGTACGTAGCCAACCGTGCTCATTGGAGGTGTGGGGGGGGACGACGGCCAGTGGGCTGGGACTAACTCCTGAGTGGCAGCCCAATGATGGGACACGTCCGATAGAGGACGCACCAACACAGGAGACGGAGCGGTAAAAACCGGCTCGTGCGCCGGCGCGTGACCGTGAAAGACGGCAGGCAACCTGTGGAGGACGTTCATTGGGCGGCGAATTGATCGCGGCTGTCGACGACGACGACGACGAGCGAGCGCGACGAACCTGTCTCTGCTTGATCTCCTCCTTCTTCTGCTCGAGGAAGATGGAGGGGATTCCGGCGATGTTCTCCTGCGCGCTCAGCAGCAGGGGCCACAGCTCGCCCACGAAGAGCCGCGCGTTCTTGCCGTTGAGAAACCCCGTGAGGTTGATCTGCATCAGGCGCCCGTCGGGGTTCTGAGGGCAACAAGGGGGCACAATGGCGCCACGCCGCGCCGATCTCAGCGCCCGAGCGCCAATCGGCAGTCCGATGCACGTCACTCGTAAAACTGACACATGCAGGGTCCAGAGCCCCCCGCCCCAACAATCTCTCCCCCGCAAGTCCCATCAAGGCACGCCCCCCCCCCCCCCCTCCACACCCCTCTGTCAGTGACGCAAACTTCTTAAAGTGTCAAGTCGCCAACAGGTCTCAAAAAAGTCACTAGATTGGCATTCTCAAGTAGTCAGAGACACGTCGTTTGACAACTGCAGTGATTCGTAATAGATATTTTTAAGTCAGGCCATGTAATGATCTGGCCAAATTTTTGTCGCAAGACCCCCCCCCCCGCCCCCCTCACCACCCCACATCGCCAATAAAATTACATTTTCAAGCGTTTAACGTAAACACCGCGTTAAATTTATGAGGCACTTAACAGAGTTGCACCCACCTCGTTGCCGTCGGGTACACGGCTGTAAGTGCTTTGAGTGCACGCAGAGCATTTTCCAAAATCCACTGTTGTACTCCACTTCTATGCTCCAGCACTTACACTACCCCGCGTTGCCGAGCAAGAGCGGCCGCGGCCCATTGGGCTCCACACGGCCCTGACGGCCGCAAGAGGCAACTTAAAGGGCCACAAAAAGATTCCGCATCTGGAGTTAATTTGGCCCGGATTCATCGCTCTTTTCCAAGGGCGACTTGGCTAGGAGAATTAAAGGGCAAGGCGGAAAACGGAAATAAGCGAAGCCTCAGATTTTCTCGGCAAGGTGTCGCCAACTAATAAGGGTACAGCGTGGTGTCCTGCTAACAAGGGCTCAGGAGAACCAGGTGACCTGATAAAAGATAGACAATCCTTAACGCGCACTCCTCGGAACCTCTACTAAACCCGCATGACGACCACGTCCTCGTCCTACGAAGTCGCTAGATGCATCGCTTTTAGGGGAAACGCAGAGTCGCCAAATCTAGCGACACACTCGGCGAGTCGGCAATGCCGCCGTCGGCGTGGCGCGACCCACGGGCCGAGTGTGCGCGTCGTCACAGCCCGCCCTCCTCGTCCGGCTCCCCGTAAAACAACGGCTACCAAAACGGAGCGTCGCATACGAGCCCACTCATCAGCAGGGCCAGCACAGGGTGAGGACTTCCAGAGCAGCGCCGTGCGGGGTGGAGGCGTTGGGGATCAGTGGCGCTTGACGCAGAAGAACAGAATCGCTTGGGCTCGCTTACGCGGAAAAATATTACGCAGAGTAATGAACCAGTACGTAATCATTTAAATACGAATAATGCTCCACAAGGGCACTCAATGCGTGTTTACGCGGTGCTGCGTATGCTAATCGCGTGTGATTGCACGATCGTCACTCCGCATCTATTACATTAACAGGGCACCGTCGTGATGACGGGAGTGCTCTTGCCAATAAAAGTCTGGCGACGCGCAAATGTTCATTTAACAAGTTCCACTCTGCTGATGAAAGACCAAAGGTCGAAACCCAATGCAGCATTCTGTTCACTTAAACAAACGCTGCTGATTAACGCAAGTGTGGAAGAGCAATAGGCCGAAAGGCTAAGACACTGTTTCCTTTATGTTAAGTGATTAAGGTGAAAAAAAGCATATTCATCTATTTATAACGGTCCACAGCACATTATGAGACTTGCACAATAATACTACAGGGAGAGATTTTATAGTGCTGACCCTGCTCACAACTGGGCACACAACTTTAACTCACAACACAGAGCGGTAGAGCTATCTCTGATAGCGGTTCACCGGTGCTGGCGAGACGAGTATCAGCAGTGGCGGTAGTAGTCGTGATATCGTGGTGGTGCGGTGGCAGTGAGGATGCACCCGAAGTACTAAGACATCGGAGGGAGGAAGGAGAGTGCGTGCGAGAGTGGCGTCTTCAGACGTGGCGCTCGCAGGCGGGGCGGGCAGGCTGCAGGGCCGGGCCGTGCCCCCAGGGCCGACAGACATGAGTCTCTCTCATCGGGCCCTCCCCCGCTAGCGCAAGCCATTACCAACCGTGTACCACACATCTGAATCGCAACACACGAACAAGCAGCCATGAGATGGGCCCCGTGACACACAACACTCCTAAGCTAGGGTTGCGGCAATGCTGCCCCAACCGGGATTGTCCTACGGGTTAGACTCGCCATCGCAATGCAATTGGTCATGGTCAAACACCGCAATGCAGGAGCCCTCCTGAAAAAGTGCGGCTTTCCTGGATAATATTTTGCTGGTTAGAAAAATATTATTCTAGCATAATTATCGTCGCTCATTTTGCATGGCATAACAAAAGCACAGTAAAAAAATTGGGATTAAATGGCTGTTTACCCATTTAATCGGTGCTTCACAAAATGACCGACATACTTTCAGCAGTCTGTTTAATTATTTAACGGTTAATCACATACGCGGCACCATTATCGTTATAAGCATTGTAAATTGTAATGTTGCGGCTCCTTTAGCAGTCATGGCAGGCGCGAGGTGAACAAATTGCAGCTGAAGAACGTGCGTATCATTTACGGGTGCTGGAAAAGCACAAACACGATCACGCCGCGATACAATTGTGGCCTGCAAGTACCAGGTTACGGGAAACAGATATTGCTATAATTATTGTATCGCGAACGTTTATCCAGTGTCCCATCCGTAAAGGTTTAGTATCGAAAAATGGGATCGTTAATCACGACTGCCGTGAGAGATTTCACTCGCAGCACCAGCAGCGGCGCGACCCCTTGTTATGGGGGTGGGTCCAGGGAATAAGCCGCACGTGTCCGCGATTACCTCCTCAGTTCAGAGAGAGAAGTGACAAAATCTGAGCGTGGAACACCACCACTAACTTTTTTTCTTGAAAAATCAACGTCAACATTTTAACGTTTAACGTTTAACCACACACACACGCGCGTGCACACACACACACACTGGCCACGAGCGATAGTAAATTTAAAATAGATGCAGTTAATTATGCTCTGAATATAATTAGTACATTGTTTAAACATGTGAGTTTTTGCCGCCGTTCGTAATCCCGAGTGCGGTTTTCCGGATCGGGCTGCGTGTTTGAGCGTTCCTTCTCTCAACCTTTTTACGCCACACACTGCTTACTTACTTAGGGCGTGTACAACAGTTGACTTCAACAAAAGAGAGACCCGGAAAACCACACTTGGGATTTGAAATCACCATTTAAATTAAGTTTTAAAAACAAATATGTTATTCATAGTTAATCCGAGTATAAAATGTACTTCTGCCAATTGGCAGCTACAAAACACATTGAATAACAGTTTAAGGCATTACAATTACTTGGTGCAATTAACCTGCTTGTTAGACTCACCTCCGCTTAACACAGCACTGGAGAATAGGAGTCATGATGTGTGATCTAACAACTTGAGATGAAATAACTCCAAATTGGGTGTCAGGCCTTTTAAATCATAAATCACATCATTAGACACCATCAACACAAAGTGTGGACAGTCAACAACAGTCATTGTGCATTTTCTTACAACAACAACAAAATTTCAAGGTTCATACCCCCCCCCCCCCCCCCTTCATCAACAGACGCCCAGCAACAACAACAACAACGACGAGAGAGCAAGGCATCGTCGTCAGCGCGTCGTTACGTGAAGCTGCGTGCGCCGAGAGCAGCGACTGCTGCCTCTGCTGGATTCTCTCCCGCGCCGGAGCTGACGCGATACGAATCGCTGTGGTATGACGATCGTCGCCGTACCACATACCTACAACCCATCTACTCGAATCGTACTTGCCATCGGCATCGTGTTGTTTTTGTGTGGTAGGAAGCATAGCATAGCTTCCTACCAAAAATATGTATTATTTGACTGCAGTTCACCGGCCATATGGCTGCTCTGAGTATCCTAGTCACTGTATATAGTTACATTCTGTAAATGCTGATATTTGGCAATTACTTTGGAACACATTTTGCAAAGCGCTTATTTATTTAGAACATTAAATACTGCGTTTGTTATGTCAGGGGAGACGACATAGCTCAGAGGTCGCTGCTCATTGCAGAGGTTCATGGTTCAAATCCCACGGCCCACCCTGGTTATTACTGTGGTGTGCATTAAATGGAAAATATCACGCGTCGTCTGCCTCTCTGCGGATGTTAAAAGATCCCGCAACGTCATTCAAATTGACGAGGCCACTCCGCGCCAGCATCTTAGTTCGAATTTGCAAAATTCGATAACACTTAGCGACATCACCCGTGTGATGCCTCTTCCTTCCTTCGTGATAGCCTCGTGCTATAAGACGCGGACACCAAAATGGACTAAGCTATTATTACAATTCATAGATAAATGTTTTTGTTAAGAAAGTAAATATATATATTTTTTTACGATAATCGCAACACAATATATTGCGATGGGGGCGATGCGATTATCGTGGAGTCCCTCTGTATCGTACAACGGCCATATCACAGCAACCCTACTACGTGGAGAGAGTGCAGCAAAAGGCCTCTGCTGCAGTAGCTACAGCGCACTGTGCACAGCAGCAAAGAGCCATCACGGACGGGCGGATAAACGGTGCCAAGCTCAAGGCTTTGGTTACAGGGGAAATTGGTTTCATTAATGTAAAAGGGTTGCGGACGCTAGCAATTAGGCGTGTAATGACACTCAAGATCCCTCGATTTGAATCGATTCTCACGGTTCATGTTACGTGCGTCCAATTGACGACAGATTGTTCACAGTTCATGCACGAGAGTGGTACGATTGACAATGTAACATTTAGGCTGATGGTGTCAACAAAATTGAATATAACAAGCGACGAGTTATACAGTTTGTCCTCGAAATGATGCGCGCACGTGGATATACCGCGTGTAACAGGTCGTTTTGGAGGGGACCGCTAAAATTTGAAATTAAAAATATTAATCAAAGAACTACTGATGCTTGACACTGGAACGCATCGCCAAATTGTCGTGAGCTGCATCTCCATGCCGCTCTTACGCCTAACGCTTACACGCATCCCCAGTCATCACTGGATTATGTGCTCAGGTATTGGCTTGTGATTTTTGGTGGTTTCAGCGGACGTTTTTTTTTTCCCTTTATAATTATTTTCATATATTTTGTTATTGAATACAAAGAACAATATAACGAGACCAATCATAAATGGGCCGAATGCAATTGATGGGGTTTGGTTCCAAAAACGGATGCATACCGGGGCACACCCCACCCCCTATCAGGCATCCCGCTCTTTCGAGGACACACTGTTGTTCAAGGTGTAAAAACAAAGCAATGAGAGAGCACAAATTAAATCAAATCGTGACCGCAAATTTGGATAACTGATCGAATCGCCGGGCTGATGAATCGTCATATGCCAACTGGGATCACCGTGACGTCACAGCCGAGCGCTGCGGCTCTCCGGTCCGTGATGACGGATCGCTGGTGCTGGGCGCGGGTGTCAAAAGTGCGCGTCTCACCTTCTCCTCAAGCTGATTGAAGACGAACTCAATTACGACGTCGTCCTCAAAGCCGAGCATCTGGGTGATCTTCTGCGTGATCCACGGTTTGATGGTCTCCAGGTTCACCTTGGTCATGTCAACCTGGAGACACCGGGACACCAGTCACCACGAACCGCACACCCCACCAAGTCCCTCCAAACCGAGAGGCCGAGGCTCTGCCCCGTCGGGAGCGTCGCACCAGTCGTGTTCGCCAGCCATCATTATCATAAACACCATGGGGCGGGAAGATCGAGAAAGCACAGGTTCGTCCGTGTCTCACCAACACGCTTATTGTCAACAACCATGATCAATCCACTGCTGGACGAAGGCCTCCCCAAGATGTCATCATCCCTCAGTCAACACGATGCGATAATCCACCCAACTCCTGCACATTAACTCATTACATTCTTAGCTCTTTCGGTAAAGTCACGTTGAAGGGAAACAATAAAAATAATGAAATATAGCTAAAGCAATAAAATTATATATTTTATTATTTTTATTGTTTCCCTTCAAAGGGACTTTGCCGAAAGAGCTAAGAATATGAATCACTGCAGTCACGAAAGCTTTAAATCAAAAATTATGATCTCATTAGTGGCCATATTTTAATAACGTTCATAGATGCGATTCCACTGTCGCGAATCACTGCCGATGTTTAAGAACGGAGAATCATTTTTTTTTACATTGCGATGCATGGGAGAGCAATCGGCGGCTACAGGGGTGACGTGAACCCATGAGGTATCAAAAAGGAATGAAAACGTCTCGATTCGAAAGCACGAAACTTGAGTCACGTGTCACGAGGGTTAGAAATCCGCAGCAATTGACGATACGATGCATCATTCCACCACCATCAACGTCACTTAATCCAGGCATGCATTCCAATGCTACAAGTCTCTTTTTTTCCCCTTAAAGATTTAATTTACAGTTGACATGCACTCGCACGCAACACGATATAGTCTAGCATTGGTGTATGGTTCAATAAACTTGCAATTATCTGGGGTAACAGAGGAAAAGGGTGGCCCAGGTAAAGAAAACACTTGGGCAATGGAGTACAATGTCACTTAGGTATGAAATGTATTTATCGTTTAGCGATGTGGAACAAGAATGAATTCTCTGTTTTCATTACTTATCCGGTTTACTTACCAACGCGTGGGCAGTGACGTGAGCTCCGAGTCGATGACATTTGACGAGTGAGGAGTAGCTAATGATTAAACCAGCGTGCAAGTAAAACATACTTAAAAAATAAATTTCACCATGCACGGTTAATCTACAAACTGGGTAAATCCGCAGTTTGCAATGCCCAAGGGCAATAATAATCGGCAAACTTCAATACTTTCTGTAAACAATTAGAAACATTTCTTTGAACTGTAATATCATTCCCATACCTGTCAACCCATACGGTTTACCCCGAAATTCTTGTACAGGGAAATTTAGTTTTCAGGTCCACACGGCAGACAGCTGTTTGATTACGCGCAAAAAACCCCCATAGTTTTTGTCTTTGTTTGCGTTTCTCCCTTGTGATGGTATTTCGATGGATGAACGTTGAGATGGAAAGGGAACGGGGTGACCAATAAGGTCTGAATTATCTGTAATAAGGTAGGCACTGATAAGGGGTTGACAGAAACGCATTCCTCGTGTTTGTTTCCAGTCGCCGCACACTCTATCTACAGTACTACTCATTTATATAAACGCGTTCAGTTTGGCAGACACCATTCCCTTCCAAGCCACGGTTGCAGTCAAACAAATCCCAGACAACTGAATGCCCATAGACTTACAATGCGTGTACGGTACAGGCCATGGACGATCGCATTTTCCACATCGCAATTCGTTTTGAGTGTGCCCGCAGTGCTGCGAATGAGTGTGGAGTCGTGAACGTCATGGGAACTCTCACCTTGCCGATATGAAAATATAAGAATAGATTTTACCCTTTCTGGCAATAAAACAGGTGTGAAGATGTTAAACCACCAAACGGAAACCTTTTGAAAGCCATCATGTCTGGATTAACCACATATACTTTGTGGCGAACACGCAAACAAAAACCACATGCTCCGATAGTACGGTGTATATGCATTGACTTTGAGTACGTGTGTGTTGGATCATTCATCACCTTTTTCTCCAGTCCTTCGGCAAACTTCATCTGCTTCATGAGCTTCTTCTGCTTGTTGCAGAAGCGGTTGTCCTGGTCGGCACTCGTTCCCTGTGGGGAACACAGCGCGAGACACCACAGCTCACACAGTCGCTGTGATCACTGTTACGTTGCAATTATGGCTGAATTTTTTGGTGATTTTCGAAAACGTTTTTTGGTTTGGACATGTTTGTTTTGTTGTAGTACGGAGTTAGACTGATGGCCTTAATCTAAGTTTTCTTGTGGTTGTTGTTGTTGTTTTGACTTGCATCCCACTGGGATTTTTTTTTGCACACAGCGTTGGTGTACGGTGCTTTTTTCAGGAATATTTTGCTGTTTTTTTCATGGATTTTCTTTTTGTACAGTCACATAGTCACTTTAAGATGTTTTATTGTTCGTGTTTTTTGTTTTTTTGTTTGCTGTGGTTGCACCCGATTCAAGAGCCGAATGGCTCACAGGGCTATACTAAAATAAACTGAAATTGAAACACTATTGGACACGGGCGCGTTCACCGTGCCCGACAGTAAAGTACACACAGGATCAACGTTACAGTATTATTACGCGTGTTTATCCAAGGAAGTATCACAGAACCCGAAGACTAATCGTCAGACGTCCTGATAATATGTTGCAGTCGGCGGCGATAATTCTGACTCCGAATCTTTATTTCGACTGGAGGAATCCGATGAGACATGAAGCTCTTCTTCAAAGACATTTTCCCCCACTTAATTATTTTTAATACATTTTGAATGAAGTCAATGGTGCGTTCAAACATTAACACCAACATTACTAAACATCTAAGAACATAAACGAGATTGGCGAGACAAGCGAGGCACAATGTTGGAAGCACAGATGCATGATGAACTTCTTTCGCACCGTACGTAGCCAGACAGAAAACAAGCACAGAAGAGACGGAGACATTAGACAAACACACCACGAGTCGGACACGGGACGTAATGAGACGCGGACGAGCCAGGCAGGGGGGACAGAGCGATGAGACACAGACAGGGGAAAGACGCACAGGGGACTCGGACACACGCCAGAGACCGACGCACGCAGAGTGAAGGAAGCGCACAGCAGCCACAGAGACGGAATGTCGACGAACTAAACACGGAGGCGACACGGGAGCCGATGGCCACAAGGAGGGGTTTGCGTTTATTTTGTTTACCCAGCTGAGAACTCACGGAGGCCCTAGCTTAACGCGTCTCCATTTCCCGCAAGAGCGGCCCTCATTTGCACGAGAGGAGACCCACACGCAGCGAAGACGCAAGACAGACAGCGGCGTGTTGGAGGGTGCCCACAGGTCGACTCGGCGCGTGAAGGACCCACACACCAGGAGGCCAAGGCCTCGAGGCCTCCTGCTACGGGCCTCACTCCACGACCGCGCGCCGACCAATCGCGCGCGCGCACTCGCGCCACGTGACGCGCACCCCACCAATGGGGGGGGGGGAGGCGCGCGCGCGGGTCGCCACCGCCGAAGCTCCGCCGCGCACGACACGCGCTCCGCCATCTTTTGCCCGCCGAGCTGCGAACCGACGGCTGCCGCTGCCTCCACGCGCGAACCCCGCGCTGCGAGCAGCAGGGGGCAGGGAGGAAGAGGAGAGGGGTACGAGGGGTGGAGAGAATCGAGAGCGGCGGCGGCAGAGGCCGTGGCGGCTACGGCGCCGTCTCACCCTGAAGAAGCCCGCGTCCATCTTGGCTGCTTCTGCTGCGCCTCGCCACGGTGAACACGTGACCTACGCGAGCGTGTGACGTCACGAGGTAACAATTACGCTACGAGCTAATGGCGTCATCAACTAAATTCGCGTTGTTGGGTCGGATCACGTCATCCTCATTATACCGGTCTCACGCGGTATAATGACGCAATTAGGGCAGTGACGTCATAAACTAAAATCACGTCTTGACTTAAAGCTTTCGTGACTGCAGGAATTCATATTCTTTGGGTCTTTCGGTAAAGTCACGTAGATAGGTTCAAACAAAATAAAAATGTACCCTTGGGCTACACCCATTTTCAACCTTTAAAACGTCGTAGTTTTTGTTATTTTTGTTATTTTCTTTGAACCTACGTGACTTTACCGAAAGACCCAAAGAATATAAAAATATATAAAATCATGTCGTTTTGCCGGATGACGTCATCTGGCGTCCCACCCCCGCCTGCCGACACGCGAGGTGTCGGGACACCAGAAGCGCCGGAATCGATTCCTCGACCCGCGTTAATATATCCACTACCTAATCCCAGTAACATCGATTCCTCGATTGATATATTTTATTGAGAGGTATTCCTCGATTCATCGATTGGAATTGAATTACGATTTCAGAACATTACGGTGTCACGGGATAGTTGGGGGAGGTTTCTGAAACCCCCCCTCGCTCCCCTCCACGGAGCAGCAACATCTCGCAGTAGCTAGGAGATGTTAACTACCTCGCCTGATATACAGGAGGTCGTGGGTTCCATCCCGACCCTGATGCCTGCTGCTGTATATTTGGAGTTTGTGTGTCTCTCTCTCATCACAGGGGCTAGGAGATGTTAACTACCTCGCCTGATATACAGGAGGTCGTGGGTTCCATCCCGACCCTGATGCCTGCTGCTGTATATTTGGAGTTTGTGTGTCTCTCTCTCATCACAGGGGCTAGGAGATGTTAACTACCTCGCCTGATGTACAGGAGGTCGTGGGTTCCATCCCGACCCTGACGCCTGCTGCTGTATATTTAGAGTTTGTGTGTCTCTCTCTCATCATCGTCACGGTGGCTAGGAGATGTTAACTACCTCGCCTGGTATGCAGGAGGTCTTGTGGGTTCGATCCCGACCCTGACGCCTGCTGGTGCTGTATATTTAGAGTTTGCGTGTCTCTCTCCCCGTGGTCGTGTGGATTTTTCTCCGGGTCCTCCGGTTTTTCCCTCGTTTAGACTCAACGTCACGCGTTTAGAGCATTTAGCTGTGATGATAAGCCACTTCGCTGTTAGCCAGGTCGCTAAAATAAACAAAAATAGTTTATAGCTTTTAGTTTAAATTGGTACCACCACGGTTACAGTCGATGGCGTGCGGTTCAGTAAACTGTGGGTTAGGGGCCGTCCATAAATGACGTCACGCGATTTTGGACGATTTTTGACCCCCCCCCCCTTCGTCACACGACGTCACAAAAAGTCAGACCCCCCCCGTCAAATGACGTCACAAAGCTCTGCCCCCCCCCAAAAAAATATAAAACATGCTTCAAATCGCTTTAAACTATTGTCATTGTAGTAGTGCGTATTTAATGTGGCGCTGCACTCTGATGTTGTAGGAGAAAACATAAAAAAAGTCTATTTAATTAAGTAGAACGTGTTGTCTATATTTATTAAAAGTTGCGCATTTTGATGTGACGTCACATTTCTCACCGCCCCCCCCCCCTTACTTAAAAACTAAACTCATGAGATATTTGTTTTATTTTACCAGATAAAGCCCATTGAGCTGTGTAGCTCTCTTTCAGAAGCAACCTAGCCACAAATGATGGCTCAACGCAGTGGCTTGTCGCCGCATGGAAATCTATAGTGGCCACCTTCGCGGATTTGACCTCACCGCCACGGCTAATGCCAATCTCTCCCCCGGTGTGATTGTCCACATAACAGCACGGTGTTAACTGTACACTCCCTTGCACAGGCGAAGGTCCCCCAGTTGAATCACAGGCAGTGGCCGAAGTCCGGATTCAAACCCAGGATCTCAGCGGCGCTCTGTGCTCTGACCGCTGAGCAGTGGTTTGAATATCGAGCGTGTGCAGGCGGTGCAACTGCGTCGCTCGCGGGTCCTACCGGGGGGGGGGGGGGTCGAGGTACACAATGGTGGGGGATTTAATTCCTTGAATGTGCAATTGCACCGCCTGCACACTACACAGCTACCCTCGCTAGATAGCGACCCGCACCTCCGGCTAGCACGGTTGGCTCCGTACGGTGCGAAAGAAGTTCCAACGCACACGCATGCGCCGGCACGGCGAGGGTCCCATGGGCCGGAGAGACCCGGACACCGGGGCGATGCAGAGGAGAGACATTGGACAGAGGGCAATGAAGGGGGTCGGTCCATTGAATTATTTGCACCGGGGCCCACGCCAATCAGGCTACTATGTACACTGCTGAGCCACCTCCACCTGGCGTGTGTGATATCGCGGCTATGTTTAGACACGCGCGAGGGACGACTGGCGCTGAGCCGTACGCGCACCTGACGCCCGGGCGCCGTCGTGACAGACCGCAGCAGCCCTGCCGTCAATCTCAGTTGGCTGTGGACCCCCCCGCTCGCACCGACGGCCGTGTTCATTGGCCCTCCGTAGAGGCGAACGTGGGATAAAGCGAGTGCGTGCACCGCGGCGGGGATGTGGGGGTGAGGGGTGAGTGTTAGGCCGACCGCAGCCCCTTATACTCCGGTTTGTTAAACGAGGGGGCCAAACGGAACATTTTTGTTCACTGCTAAGCGGAATTAACTGCTGGACATCTGTGAAACTACTAGACAAGAGCCTAATAGCTCATCGGATTCTGCGAGTATAAATATTCTGATTCTGAACCGCGTGCGTCTCACTCTCACCGTCTCCAAATATGTGTGTGTGTGTGCGTGTCTCTCCCATCCGTTCATTCCAGCCAGGTCTATCCGGGTTACTTATCCGGACAATATATCCAGCCCCCAGTCACAAAACTGAAAAGTGCATAATCCCGCATGGAGAGTGGAGAAGCACACATCATCCAAACTGTTAAGAGACGTGAGTGGGCTTAGGCAGGGCAGGACAGGCTCACCACTTGCGGGGACGATGGTGAATAACGCACGCCGTGTCGAACACGCCATTGTGACGTGGGACCACGCCACTGTGACATTACACACGAAGGCGCAGTGCGGCCGCGACACGTGGGGACGTTTATTTGAAGTCGGGGCAGCACGGCAACAAACACACGCGGCGATCGCGCAATTTACAAAAGTATTTACAAGCGAGGGGCGGTGCGGGGTGGGTGGGGGGGTTGTGAGCACATGCGCCTCCTCTCAGTATGTACAACCGTGTTCATCATCCACCACCCGCACGACACAGAGCAGACGGGGCCTCTTAAGTGGCCCGGGAGCTGGAATTGCCTTCCACGCGTACTCCCTGCAGCAGAAGCAGCAGCAGCAGCAAGGCAGTAGTGTATTTACAGTCGCGACAGCCGGGCTAGGCAGTGCTACACTACTACGGTCTACGTTCTAGGCCAGGGTGGGGGGGGGGGGGTCAGGGAAACCTCTTGCTTACGGAGGACTTTTAAATGCCTCTTGCCGGAGCGACATGTTAACACACGAACACACGCGCGCGTGCCGGAGTCACTACTGTCCCCTCTGTGAGCTACAGCAGTGGCGAGGCGCGCCGTTACAATCAGACACAACGTTGTTTGTTGTTGTTGTTGTGGCCAGGTCATCGGGAACATTTTGTCGTCCCCCTCTAGCACCCGATTAGTGCGGGAGGAATCTGATGAGATGTGAAGCTCCTTTTCACACGTCTCCAGCAAAGACGCTCTCAGCGACTGATATATGTGTGTCTGTGTGTACAGTTTGTAGGCCATTTCGAAGTGGTCACTCATCCAGGGGCTTAATTTCAGCTGGGTCTGTCTGCGTCAGCGACCCGAAACAAATCTTTCTCGCACCAGGCACACCGCATCTCGCATACATTTAATTGCTATGGACCTTGCTACGAGTCATTTGCCACCCTACCTCCAAGTCTACTGAGCAACCGGGAAACATAGAGGGTGCTTCAATTTTTTTAACACTTATATGGGGACTATCGTTTTTAATGGAAAAAGAACGGATAATACACTGTAACATGATAACAAATGTAATGTTAATAGCGTCAAAAAGTCAAGGAGTCTCCACTTGTTCGCCATCGTTGTCATCACGTGGCCTGGAACCTTCTCCAAGTGGTCTCCAGAACTCGGGAGGCAGCAGCACATTTCTCGTGGTGCTGTTGCAAAAACATTCGTTTGAAGCACCCTGCATCGCACGTACGTACGTTACGTTGAACTTCTTTCGCACCGTACGTAGGCAACCGTGCCAACCCCCGGGTGGTTTCCCGCGCGCCGCGCCCAACGAAGCCATGTGCCGTGCGTGGCCCGCGGGGTCTCCCGCTCGCGCCGCTGTTCTCCGCTCTCCGCGCAAACAAAAGCGTGGCCGGCGAAACCCCGCCGGGTTTCTCCCAGGAACCTCGCGTTCCCAGAGCGGTGAAGCGGGTGGTGGGGGAGAGGGTCGTTACCACGGCGATTGCTGCCTCGCGCGGCCGAGCGGGACAACCTGCGAGCGGATGTTCGGCCTTCCCCCCCCCTCCCCACTCACGGCCTCCCCCTCCCCCACCACCGCCTCTCTCGCTGCGCCGTGCCGAGACGTCGGCGTTGTCTGGGTTAGCGGGACCCACGGGAGGGTTCGTGTCGAGGGCGTTGTGGGCTCCGTTGTGGCCAGTGCGTGAGTTCACATCGGGCGATGCCTGCGTCACAAAGCCCCCTCCCCGTTCCCATCTGGCCGTACATCTTTTTCGAAAAATAAAAAAAATGTCAAAATTTTTTTAAGACAAACCCCTGCAATCGGGCAATTCTCACTGTTGCCGACTGAGCAAGAACCACCGAGAGAGAGAGCACAACTTCCTTCTGCCAATCGTAAGTGGGCAACCAATCGGCAGCTGGGGGCTTATACCCCAGAGCTTAATTTCTGCCAATAGCCACCTGCTGAGCACAGTAGTCGCCCGTGCAAGCTCTTATCCAGGCTCACGACTGCTGAGCTTCCGAGATATGATGAGATGAGGGAAAGGGAGGGGGGGTGAAAGTTCACCAAATCTTTGCCAAACTTTGCACACACTCGCTACGATGGGAATCGAGGCCTCGCCCGCAACCAGCAGTGAGCCTTACAAGGGGTTCAGTGACTCTTGGATGCCCTCTACGCCGTGGGTCATTCAAAAAACACACGGCAGATCTCTGGAAACACGTGGATGGATCTATGGAAAAATGTGGCAGATCTCCGGCCCTGGCAGGGCCAAGCATGCACGTGGTCACACGGTGATCAGGAATTAATTTCAGGCCGGGTCTTGCCAATTTGGTGGCCCGGAAAATAGTTCCGCACCTGTCACACCGCATGTAGTACACTAGCCGCGGGCCACCTACACCAGCCTTGGCAGCAACCCCAAAAATAATAATGAGTGGTAAATTAGGCCCTGGGTAAGAGGCGAGGATGCGTGCTCACTCGCCGGAGCGACACGCGGCGGTGTGAGCTGTGAGTGTCTCCCATGCAAGTCGTGCTGTGTGTATGAGAGAGGTGTGCTGTTGGTGCTGTGTGTATGAGAGAGGTGTGCTGTTGGTGCTGTGTGAGAGAGAGGGGTGTGCTGTTAGTGCTGTGTGTGAGAGGGGGTGTGTTAGTGCTGTGTGTAAGAGGGGGTGTGTTGTTAGTGCTGTCTGTAAGAGGGTGTGTGCTGTTAGTGCTGTGTGTGAGAGGGGGTGTGTTAGTGCTGTGTGTAAGAGGAGGTGTGCTGTTAGTGCTGTGTGTAAGAGGGGGTGTGTTAGTGCTGTGTGTAAGAGGGGGTGTGTTGTTAGTGCTGTGTGTGAGAGGGGGTGTGTTAGTGCTGTGTGTAAGAGGTGTGCTGTTAGTGCTGTGTGTGAGAGGGGGTGTGTTAGTGCTGTGTGTGAGAGGGGGTGTGTTAGTGCTGTGTGTGAGAGGGGGTGTGTTAGTGCTGTGTGTAAGAGGGGGTGTGCTGTTAGTGCTGTGTGTGAGACGGAGGTGTGCTGTTAGTGCTGTGTGTAATAGGGTGTGTGCTGTTAGTGCTGCGTGGGACGGTGGTGTACTGTTTGTGCTGTGTGTGAGAGGGTGTGTGTTGTTAGTGCTGTGTGTAAGAGGGTGTGTGCTGTTTGTGCTGTGTGTAAGAGGGGGTGTGTTGTTAGTGCTGTGTGTGAGAGGGGTGTGCTGTTTGTGCTGTGTGTGTAAGAGGGTGTGCTGTTAGTGCTGTGTGTGAGAGGAGGTGTGCTGTTAGTGCTGTGTGTAAGAGGGGGTGTACTGTTTGTGCTGTGTGTAAGAGGGGATGTACTGTTAGTGCTGTGACCCTGTGTTGTAGTGCTGTGTGTAAGAGGGTGTGTGCGGTTAGTGCTGTGTGTAAGAGGGGGTGTGCTGTTAGTGTTGTGTGTAAGAGGGGGTGTGCTGTTAGAGCTGTGTGTGAGACGGAGGTGTACTGCTAGTGCTATCATCGTGTACACTTTGAAACGCGGTGCCAGTGCCGTGCTGTTTGTGCTGTTGGTGCCGAGTCGCAGCCGCAGCAAGATGAGCACAGTTGGCTACGTACGGCGCGAGAGACGTCCAACATACATACACACGTGTGCTGGTGATCGTGTGATGCATGCGTTGTGCCATATGGCTTGTGATGTCGATGCTGCAGGTGCCGCGTGTTGTTCCATGCGTTGTGCCATGTGGGTTCTCCTGTGCCGTGTGTGTTGTGCCGCGTGTTGTTCCATGCATTGTGCGCTTTGCCCTGTGCGCTGTGCCGTATGTGTTGTGCTGTGTAATTTGCGCCCACGTGGTCTCGTGACGCCGCGTGCGTTGTGCCGCGTGCGTTGTGCCGCGTGCGTTGTGCCGCGTGCGTTGCGCCCACGTGGTCCGCACTGCTCAGGGCGCCGTGGCGGGCGGTGCGGCCTCGGGTCGGCGGGTCGGTTCGATCTTGGGGGCGACGGCGGCGGCGGCGGCCTCGGCGTCGCCCTCGCACACGTGCACCACTACGCTGGGCGTGCGCTCCGTGCCGGCGTGCAGCTCGTACTTGTCTCCTGCGCGGGGAGTGCAGACGGATGAGGGTGGTGGTGGTGGTGGCGGCGGTGGTGGTGGTGCGACGGCCTAAACAAGTGCGGTCTCCCACTCTTATCGCACCTCAGATTGGCTGCTGCGGACGGTGCTAAAGAAGGTCAACATGCGTACATCCATCATCGTCCGCTTGACTCACCTCTCTATCCACGTGCTAGGAATAATAAGGGCCACCGCCTGAAATGTCACCTGTGGTATATTATTATTAAGCCCGCAGCGTTCTTGACTTTGAATGTGTTGAGTTATTATTATTATTATTATGGGGATCTATGTAAATGTGTGGGTGTCCATGTGACTATGGGTGTCTGTGTAGGTCTATGGGTGTGCCTCAGTGAGTCTTTGGGTGTCTCAGTGAGTCTATGGATCTCTGCATGACGCTGACATTCCTGTCGGAGCTCTGCTTGTTGCTCAGCCCTGCACAGCGAGACGAGAAGTTAGCGGACGGGCAATCAGCGGTTGTTTAAAGAGCAACCACCACGGCTAGTGGTCACACACCGGTGGAAGCACGTGGAGCCTGGCTCGAGGGTCACACTCACCCTCACTCACCCTCACACTCACCCTCACTCACTCACACACTCACAAAAGAAAGATCCCCCATATAGCCTATAACAGACTGTAGGGGCAAGTGCTGTTAGCGAGCACCTATGAAGGCCGGAACGGTACACGAGGGGGTGGATGGCCAGCACCACGCCCGGCCGCCTTTGTCTCCCTAGTGGCGATGTTTACACACCGCACCAGGTACTCATTTGAGGCTGAGTCGACCTAGGGGAGAGGCCCGGGGACCGGTTCAGATAATCGTCACTGGTGTTGGCCGTGAGCGGGAATCGAACCCGGGTCGCCAGGTTCATAGCGCAGCGCGCTAACCACTACACTACCACCCCCCACACTCACCCTCACTCACTTACCCTCACTTACCCTCACTCACCCTCACTTACCCTCACTTACCCTCACTCACCCTCACTCACCCTCACACACTCACTCACACACTCACTCACACACTCACTCACCCTCACACTCACCCTCACTCACTCACCCTCACTCACACTCACCCTCACTCACCCTCACTCACCCTCACTCACACTCACCCTCACTCACTCACACAGTCACCCTCACACACTCACTCACACACTCACTCACACACTCACACACACACTCACCCACGCACTCACACACTTGCCCTCACTCGCCCTCACTCACACACTCACACTCGCTCACCCTCACTCACACACACTCACACACTCACCCTCACTCACTTACCCTCACTCACCCTCACACACTCACCCTCACACACACACTCACCCTCACTTACACACACACTCACCCTCACTCACACACTCACACACACTCACTCACACACTCACACACTCTCACACTCTCACACTCTCACACTCACACACACTCACTCACACTCACCCTCATACACTCACCCTCACTTACCCTCACTCACACACTCACACACACGCACACACTCACACACTCACTCTCACACTCTCACATTCACACACTCACTCACTCACTCACCCTCACACACTCACTCACACACTCACCCACTCACTTACCCTCACACGCTCACACACTCACCCACTCACTCACCCTCTGACACACTCACTCTCACTCACACACACACACACTCACCCTCACTCACCCTCACACACTCACCCTCACACACCCCCACAAACTCACCCTCACTTACTCACTCTATGTAAGTCCATGAAACTCAATGTGAGCCTGTGGGTCTCTATGTGAGTCCTTGAACCTCAATGTGAGTCTGTGGGTCTCTATGTGAGTCATTGAACCTCAATGTGAGTCTGTGGGTCTCTATGTGAGTCCATTAACCTCAATGTGAGTCTGTGGGTCTCTATGTGAGTCCATGAACCTCAATGTGAGTCTGTGGGTCTCCATGCGAGTCCTTGAACCTCAATGCGAGTCTGTGGGTCTCTATGTAAGTCGATGAAACTCAACGTGAGTCTGTGGGTCTCTATGTGAGTCCTTGAACCTCAATGTGAGTCTATGGGTCTCTATGTGAGTCCTTGAACCTCAATGTGAGTCTGTGGGTCTGTATGTGAGTCCTTGAACCTCAATGTGAGTCTGTGGGTCTCTATGTGAGTCCATGAACCTCAATGTGAGTCTGTGGGTCTCTATGTGAGTCCATGAACCTCAATGTGAGTCTGTGGGTCTCTATGTGAGTCTTTGAACCTCAATGTGAATCTGTGGGTCTCTATGTGAGTCTATGAACCTCAATGTGAGTCTGTGGTTTTCTATGTGAGTCCATGAACCTCAATGTGAGTCTGTGGGTCTCTATGTGAGTCTTTGAACCTCAATGTGAGTCTGTGGGTCTCTATGTGAGTCCATGAACCTCAATGTGAGTCTGTGGGTCTCTATGTAAGTCCATGAACCTCAATGTGAGTCTGTGGGTCTCTATGTGAGTCTTTGAACCTCAATGTGAGTCTGTGGGTCTCTATGTGAGTCCATGAACCTCAATGTGAGTCTGTGGGTCTCTATGTAAGTCCATGAACCTCAATGTGAATCTGTGGGTCTCTATGTGAGTCCATGAACCTCAATGTGAGTCTGTGGTTCTCTATGTGAGTCCATGAACCTCAATGTGAGTCTGTGGGTCTCTATGTGAGTCTTTGAACCTCAATGTGAGTCTGTGGGTCTCTATGTGAGTCCATGAACCTCAATGTGAGTCTGTGGGTCTCTATGTGAGTCCTTGAACCTCAATGTGAGTCTGTGGGTCTCTATGTGAGTCCATTAACCTCAATGTGAGTCTGTGGGTCTCTATGTGAGTCCTTGAACCTCAATGTGAGTCAATGGGTCTCTATGTGAGTCCATGAACCTCAATGTGAGTCTATGGGTCTCTATGCGAGTCCTTGAACCTCAATGTGAGTCTATGGGTCTCTATGTGAGTCCATGAACCTCAATGTGAGTCTGTGGGTCTCTATGTGAGTCCATGAACCTCAATGTGAGTCTGTGGGTCTCTATGTGAGTCCTTGAACCTCAATGTGAGTCTGTGGGTCTCTATGTGAGTCCATTAACCTCAATGTGAGTCTGTGGGTCTCTATGTGAGTCCTTGAACCTCAATGTGAGTCTATGGGTCTCTATGTGAGTCCATGAACCTCAATGTGAGTCTATGGGTCTCTATGCAAGTCCTTGAACCTCAATGTGAGTCTATGGGTCTCTATGTGAGTCCATGAACCTCAATGTGAGTCTGTGGGTCTCTATGTGAATCCTTGAACCTCAATGTGAGTCTATGGGTCTCTATGTGAGTCCATGAACCTCAATGTGAGTCTGTGGGTCTCTATGTGAATCCTTGAACCTCAATGTGAGTCTATGGGTCTCTATGTGAGTCCATGAACCTCAATGTGAGTCTGTGGGTCTCTATGTGAATCCTTGAACCTCAATGTGAGTCTATGGGTCTCTATGTGAGTCTATGGGTCTCTATGTGAGTCCATGAACCTCAATGTGAGTCTGTGGGTCTCTATGTGAGTCCTTGAACCTCAATGTGAGTCTGTGGGTCTCAATGTTAGTCCATGAACCTCAATGTGAGTCTATGGGTCTCTATGCGAGTCCATGAACCTCAATGTGAGTCTGTGGGTCTCTATGTGAATCCTTGAACCTCAATGTGAGTCCGTATCTTACACCGTTGATCGACAACCTACCGACCTCTTCGCCACCCAATGGGCGTGTCTGTGTTTCTCTACGCGAGTCTGTGGCTCACGCCTTCGATCGCCCTCCCGCGATAGGAAATAAGCAGAGAGGAGGAGGAGGAAGACAAAGGCTGACCGGGTCCCAGCTGCGCGATGGCGCACAGGAGGTCGTAGTTGACGAGCGGCGCGGGGTCGGGCCTGGGCTGCCACCCCGCGGGGGGGGACCCAGGGGGGGAGATGAGCCACACGCGGCCTGGCTGGGGGAGGGCCAGCGATGCCCCGGGACTCTCGGGGTCCCCCATCACGGCCTGCGGGATGGGGGAGACACAGGGGGTCAATTGGGGTTAAGGGACAGGAGACACCAGGGGGCCCAAGGGTTGAGGAGACGGGGGACACGGGGTAAGAGGAGCAGAGTCAGGAGACGCCAAGGTCAGAATATGGGCACGGGGACAGAGGGGTAGGAGGAGAGGGAGCCAGACAGAGGGCAAGAGAGGTGGGGACAGGGACACTGGGCGTTGTCTGCAAGAATGAAACGTGTGGCGAGGTCCGCACAAGCCAGGGCGCGCCTCGTCCCAGCAGGACGGAGCCTGGACAGTGCTTGTGTGGGCGACGACCATTGATAGAAAACAACAAAAACAACAACAGCAGGAGCTCTAGACCACCGCGGGGGCTGCCACTAAGCCGGGGTCGGGATGATCGGGGTCAGGGGTCAAAATACACCGGGGAGTGGGGGAGGGGGTGGAGTGGTGATGTGGATTAGCATGGGGGGGGGTGTTGTGTGTGGTGCTGTAAGGGGGTCCACCCCAAAGCGCCTGGCGTTGTGGAGGGGGGGGGTGTAAGTTTATGGGTCACGTGAGAGTGGGGGGCTGTGTGTGATGAGGGTGATACGTGTGTGTGTGTGGGGTGTTGCTGTGTGGTTCTGTGTTGCAGGGAACAGTGGTGCTGGTGGTGATGGTGGTGCGGTGATGGTGGATGATGGGGGGGGGGGGGGTGTTGGTGGTGGGGGGGTATTGGTGGTGGTGCGGTGTTGGTGGGTTATGGGGGGGGCGGTTTTAGTGGTGGTGCGGTGTTGGTGGTAGTGCTGGTAGGGTGCTGGGGTGATGGGGGCGACGGTGTTGGTGTTGGTGGGTGATGGGGGGGGGGGGGGCAGTGGTGCTGGTGATGGGGGGGTGGTGGTGCGGTGGTGGTGCGGTGTTGGTGGCGATGGGTGATGGGGGCGACGGTGTTGGTGGTAGTGCGGTGTTGGTGGTGGTAGGTGATGGGGGGGGGGATGGTGGTGATGGTGGGTGTTGGTGATGGTGGGTGATGGGGGTGGGGAGCGGTGTTCCACGTACGTGTGCCGCATGCACTTGCAGCGTGCCCCCCCCCGGGAGCCGCGTCCCGTGCAGCGCCGAGCGTGCTCGCGCTGCCGCCTCGGGGCTCGCAAACTGCACCGCGACGCGGGGGGGCGCCCCCCGTTCCTCCTCCTCCGCCCCCCTCTCCTCCTCCTCCTCCTCCACTTGCACGCGGGGCCACGCCACGCGGCCTCCCTGCGCTCTGAACAGCGCGACGAGCTCAGCCTGCACAAAGACAAAGGTGCCCCTTATAGCCCTGAGCAGACTTTAGGGCCAAGTGCTGTAAGCGAGTGCCTATTAAGTACGTCGGGTGGCGTTTGAGGGTGTGGTGGAGCCACCAAAGACCCCCCCCCCCCCGTGTAGCCTGAACAGACTGTTGAGTCAAGTGCTGTTTGTGAGCACTTCTTAAGGTCGGCACGGTACACGAGGGGGTGGGTGACCGGCACCACGCCCGGCCGCCTTTGTATCCCCAGCGACGATGTTTACACACCGCACCAGGTTCTCATTTGAGCCAGAGTTGACCTAGCAGAGGCCTAGGAATCGTTACCGGTGTTGGCCGTGAGCAGGAATCGAACTCGGGCCGTCGGGTTCGCAGTGCAGCGCGATAACCACAACGCTACCGCTCCCTACCAGAGACACAATCAGACCAGGGGCTGAGCCACAGGGGGGGCTGGGGGGGGCGGGGGGGGGGGGGGCTGAGCCCCCCCTGAAATTTTGGGAAAGTCGGTAATCTGGATAACCGGATATCCGGCTGCTGCAAAATGCTGCAGGCTGCCACCTTGTGCTGCCCTGCAGGCTGCCACCTTGTGCTGCCCTGCAGGCTACCACCTTGTGTGCTGCCCTGCAGGCTGCCACCTTGTGTGCTGCCCTGCAGGCTGCCACCTTGTGCTGCCCTACAGGCTGCCACCTTGTGCTGCCCTGCAGGATGCTTGAGCGGCAGCTTTTTGAACTTATCGAACTTATCAGCCACATCAGCGGCTCCGATCTATTAATAAACTCCGCGTTCAAATCCAATAATATTTGTTTCATACATTTGTGGCGCCCATTGGAAACATTACACTGGATATCTCAGAATATTGAAGTCAGCACCCCCCAAAGTCAAAATCCTGGCTCCGCCACTGACTATAACATATTATCTACAAAATGACACCTTGCCAATATTAACTATGTTACCCTATTTGTATTTTTAATTGTTTTAGATTGTATCTTATAGCTATTTTATATTCGATATTTATTCAATTTTATATACTTTAGCCCCTTGGTGTTAGTTAGACTTTGAACCCTTATTATAGTAAGACTTGTTTACCACTTATTTAAGATTTTAGATTCCTATATGTTGAATGTATGCACCATCCTGCCAAAGTAAATTCCGTGTCTGTGTGAACTTTCATGGCGAATAAAACCCTTTCTGATTCTAAAACCCTTTCTGATTCTGAATCAGACGCAGTGAGCATCACTGAGTGGGCCCACTGGCCAATGAGTGCCACTTATACTCCCATCATCACTAACCACCACTGATTATAACTCACCACACACACTCATGTTCACATAACTAACTAAACATTACTAATTACTAGCCATTCCTAATCACCACGAACCACTGAGCACCGCCTATAATAACCATGAATGACAAACCACCGTTCAACAAACATTTACGTATTTATGTTGAACTTCTTTTGCACCGTACGGAGCCAACCGTGCAGTTCTAAAGAGGTTCCTTTTCAATCGAGATCCTCTCATCGGCGGCATATGGTCGGTTTGGAGCGGTGGCACAGAAATGAGCGCACTCCTCTGCAACACCAGCGACCCGAGTTCGATTCCCAGCCATGGCCCCCTATGAGTGGCGAGCGATGCCGGGCGGTGGCGGCGGTGGTGACGGCGGCGGCGGTGGTGGTGGTGGTGGCTACACTTCTGCTGCTGCACGTGGCTGCTGCCTGTGATCTCGCACTGTGGAGGCAGCAGCAACCGGGAGGGTTGGTGGATTACCGCACACAAATATCGCCAATCTGCCTTCCCTGGCTCGGGCAGGAGAAAGCAGAAGAGCAAGTGGACTGATCGCCATCGGTTTCCGTCATGTACGGGGATAGAGCGTTGCCCCCTCTCGCAAGGCGAGGGCTTTCTCCGAATGCTCTTCTTTCACCCCACGTGCACGGACCACTCACACATTGGCCAGAAACGTCTTGGAGTGAAGATCTAACGCAGGTTTCCCTTGAAAAAGAGCCGTACGGCGCAGATTTCCGGGATAAATAATTAATATGAAGTGTATTATATCTGAAATATGAACCGATCCTCACTTGCCACCAACCTCCTGGCGACTCCACATACCCGTGCTGACCAGGGCGCTGAAGTCAAACCACCCCTGCTGAAGACAAACAGGCGTGGGGAGACTCTCATCCAGCAGTGGATTGACAAGGCAGCTGTAGATTTCACCCACGAGTTGCGGTGTTAGTTCACTTCTCATCTGACGATGTCTCTTCACTTCACTGCGGTTCGTCACCATTGCTTTTGTCCTCATTTTGGTGAGCCGGGTCACTGTTGCAAATGAGACTCGAACCAAGCACCCATTTGAGGCTGAGTCGACCTAGGCGGTTGCTCAACTTCAAGTTCTCATTTCTATTTCGTCGACATTAGCCACGCCCCAGAATCTAACTCATCGTGAGGCCGTTGGGTTAGCCGCGCAGTGCGATAACCGCTGCGTCGCCAGACACGAACACAAAGACAACAAGAGGCAAAACTTCCCCCGTGTTGGGGCAAAAGTGCAGTTAGCGAGCACCTATTAAGGCCAGCACGGCATATGAGGGGGTGGGGGGGGGGGTGGCCAACACCGCGCGCGGCTGCCTTTGTCTCCCCAGTGCTGACGTTTACGCACCGTTCACCGGGTGCTCATTTGTAAGGCCCGAGCCGACCTAGGGAAGACCCAGGACCGGTGCAGATGTTCGTCACCGATATCGGCGGCGAGCGGGAATCGAACTCGGCTCGCGCCAGCGCAGCGGCTAGCGCGGCGCGCGAACCGCGGCGCCACCAGAGACGCACGCGCGCGTCCGCTCCGCCGTGATTGGACGAGCCAAGGTCACTAGCGAGAGCGCGACGCTAATTGACGTGCGCTCCGGGACCGTCTCCCGTTCGCGGTATCGACTGCTGAGCGAGCGGTCGATCGATCCCTGCGAGGGGCCGAGCAAGATCGGAACAATGACGGCGATGACGACGATGATGACGATTCCGAAGCATCCAGCAAAGCCACGCAGAGTCCTCACAGACTCCTCTTTGAGGAGGGTCCTGCCACGTTGGGGCGTTTCGGCCGATCCCGTTAAAGAGGGTGTTGTGTTGCACCGTGTGAGAGGAAACTGGAAAACCCGGTTGAAAAAACACCAACCCATGATCCTTAAAAACAGGTCCCTGCAGGGTGGGCTGGTAGGAACATTGGCAAAGTAACGTCACGGTGCCTTCGAACTTCGCCTCGCAAATGGTATTCGGCTGTGGGCTGTGTGTGAATTTGCCACATCCCCAAAAGTGAAGTTCGCAAATGAGATAATGTGACTTCCAAATGTTGGGTGCAATAAGACATATCAAGTCTCTGCGCTGTCTTGCTGATTTTACACCCAACAGCACGAGATTTCACTTCGTTAAAGTATTGAAAGGGGACGGACGGACACATTAATCTATTGCAGGCTGGTACACTCAGTTTACAACTTCGTTCCTACCAGTATTATCCATAACGCTATTCCCTAATCCTAACTCCAACCCTGTATCACTGGAACCCGAATTCTAACCCTGGCCCTGGCTGTAACCATAACCCAGGGATACATTTCAGTCGAGTCTGTCTGGGTCAGTGCGCCAAAAAATATCTGCGCACCCAGCACACCACATCCAGTATACGTCTCGCTGTGGGGCTACGGCGGGTACTTCTACCAGGCACGTGGCACTCGCTCCAGCAGTGGACACAACGACCCGGAAGATATTCCACGAGGCGGTAAAATTACCGCCCCGTGTTATATTTTATTTCGCGGTGTTTGCGCAAACCGCATCTCACAACGGAGGTGCGGGGTAAAACCGCGACCGACAAGGACGAGCGGGAAGGCAGCCGGAGCCAGCGCTGCCAACGACTGCCCAGGCGCTCGGGGGTCTGCCAGCCGGTAATGGGACGAAAAACTTGCGATGTGACTGTAATACGTCATCACAATTGAGTCATTTTGTCTGGTGTAACTTTCAAGTTTGGCAAAGTTGGAACGATGACGCCGGCACGCTATGGCCTACTCTCGCGAAGGACGCCGCCGGATCTTTAACGTCCTCTGCGAGGCACGCGGTGCATTTACGGTTGACGCAGACCCGCAGCATTAATCAGGGCGGCCGCTGGATTCTAACCTTGAACATTTGCAACAAGCGGCGGACGCGCTACCGCTAGGCCATGGCGTGGCCCCTTGCAAGCCCTGCCTATCTATACCCCTACCCTATAACAATTCCCTATACTACTACTCCACACCACTAACTCTATAACCCCTACCCCATAACCCTTCCCTAGACTACCCCATACCACTAACCCTATACCCCCTACCCTATAACCTGTACCCCGAAATCGATCCCCTCCCCCCGCTCCCACGGGGTCTCCGTGGGATCCCCGTGGGGTCCCCGTGAGGCCCCGTGAGGCCCCGGGTCTCTCCCCACCTCCTTGAGTTGCCACGGAGACCGGGGCCGCGTCTGTTTGATTTCTATCGCCATTCACAGAGACCCCACTCGTGGGAGGTCGGGCCGCGGAGCGAGCGAACGGGAAGCTCCCTCATTCATCTGCGAGTCGATCCACGGCGTCAGATCTACACAGACTCAGAGGTTCATCGACTCACGCAGAGACCCAAAGACTCGCATAGAGACCCATAAGCTCGCATAGAGACCCATAAGCCTCACATAGAGACCCATAGACTCACATAGAGACCCATAGACTCACGCAGAGACCCAAAGACTCGCATAGAGACCCATAAGCTCGCATAGAGACCCATAAGCCTCACATAAAGACCCAAAGACTCACATAGGGACCGTAGCCTCACACAAAGACCCATAGACTCACACAGAGACCAAAAGACTCACATAGACGTATAGACTAACACAGAGACCCATAGACTCACATAGAGACCCATAAGCTCGCATAGAGACCCAAATACTCACATAGAGACCGTATACTCACATAGAGACCCATAGACTCGCATAGAGACCGTAAACTCACATAGAGACCCATAGACTCACATAGAGACCCATAGACTCACATAGAGACCCGTAGACTCGCATAGAGACCCATAGACTCACATAGATACCCATAGACTCACATAGAGACCCATAGACTCACATAGAGACCCATAGACTCGCATAAAGACCCAAAGACTCACATAGAGACCGTAGCCTCACATAGAGACCGTAGACTCACACATAGGCCCATAGCCTCACATAGGGACCCATAGACTCACACAGAGACCCATAGACTCGCATAAAGACCCAAAGACTCACATAGGGACCGTAGCCTCACACAAAGACCCATAGACTCACACAGAGACCAAAAGACTCACATAGACGTATAGACTAACACAGAGACCCATACACTCACCCAGAGACCCATAGACACAGAGAACCAGACTTGCATAGAGACCCATATGCTTATACAGAGACCCATATACTTATCCAGAGACGTATAGGCTCACACATCGACCCATAGACTCACACATAGACCAATGGACTCACACAGAGTAAAATGCGATCACCACTGCGTCACCGCTCCACCCAGACACCCCGTCACAACCGTACAACAATACCACCCGCACTCTTTCCATTGAACGGGGCCGCATAGCTGAGATAGAATGCCCTTAGTAATGACATCGGGTAATCTAGCAGCGTTTTAAAAAACATATTTGTTATTGGATTTTTTGCTGCACACAAGAAACAACAAAGGGGAGCTGTAGGACGTTGGGCGATTTTAAAAAAATAACAACCGCACGCGACTAAGGGGCCGTCCATAAATGACGTCACGCACCTGGGGGGGGGCGGGTCGGACATTTGTGACGATGTGTGACGAGGGGGGGGTTGAAAAATGTGACGTCACATGAAAATGCGCAACTTTAAATAAATATAGACAACACGTTCTACTTAATTAAATAGACTTTTTAATAAATGTTTTACTCCTACAACATCAGAGTGCAGCGCCACATTAAATACGCACTACAATGGCAATAGTTTAAAGCGATTTGAAGCATGTTTTATATATTTTTTGGTGTGGGGCAGAGCTTTATGACGTCATATTTGGGGGGGGGGGGGTCTGACTTTTTGTGACACCGTGTGACGCCGTGTGACGGGGGGGCGGGGTCAAAAATCGTCCAAAATCGCGTGACGTCATTTATGGACGGCCCCTAACCGCTCGGGCCCATCGTGTACCCGACGCCTCCTCGTTGATGAGAGGCGGCGTCGGGGCGTGGGGGGGGTGGCAGAGATAACCACGGCGAGCCGCAGCGTGGGTTTCAACAACTCCCCACGTGGCTGAGGAGACCCAGAAGGTTGAAAACCTCCCACAGCTTTACCCACTTAGACAGAGACTGCTGCTGCTGCTGCTTCTGCTGCTGCTGCTGCGGGATAATATTGGCTTGGAAAGCCACTTAAGGGACCGATAATTTAATTGACATCTATAATGCGCATTTCACCCGTACATCCCCAGTGTGCCCCGTGTATGGAAATGAGGAAATTAACAGAACCTGCAGGGTGAACGGACAGAACTAGGGGGGTGGGCGGGGGGGGGTTTAGAGGACAGTTTATAGAGCTGAGTTTTTTAAGACGGGACTTAAACATTTCTAACGACTCTGATTGTCTTATTAGCAAATACACAGCGTTCCAATGCTTGGGAACGGCACTGCCAAAAGCCCAGTCAAGCCCAGGGACAGAGCCTTGACCTTGGAGTCCTTAGCAGAAGGAGATCCGAAGATCTCAGGGACCTCGTTTGGTCGTGTTGTGCAAGTATGTATGTTGAACTTCTTTCGCACCGTACGTAGCCAACCGTGCTTATCGGAGGTGCGGGTAATGACAACAGACTGAACACACAAATTAGTTCTAAAGAGATTCGTTTTTTTTTATTTAGACGTAAAAGTGCATAGCCGCAGTGGTTTCCTAATATCAGTAGGGAGAGCGTTCCAGACGGCCGCAGAAGCGCGTCTGGAAGTGCGGTGACCACCGCCTTTGTTCGACGGCCAACCAACAAAAGCCGCCGCTGCTGCCGCTGCTGCTGCTGCAAGGATGAGCGGAGTTGGCGTGATGATGGTTTACAGCTGCTTGACGAGACCAGCAGCGTGGTTCATGTGTGTGCGAGCTCTCTGTGCTGCGTGTAATGAGCGCGACCTCTGTCACGTTCGCGTGCCGACACGAGGTGGAGGGTGTTGTCCTGCGTGAGAGCGAGCGAGCGAGCAGGGCGCTGATGGTGCAGCTGCCCTCACCAGGGCTGGAGGACCGGTGACTGCAATGTACGAGAGACGCGCATGGGACAGTGACGCGGTCTGTAGCGGTGGCGCGTCGCAGACGTCCACGGTTCAGTTCCCGCGGCCGCCCCGATTAATACTGCGTGGTGGAATCACCCCAACAACAACAACGACGATTCGCCCCGTCTGCTTCAAAGATCCTGTGACATCATTCACAGGAGTCGCCCTTGGTGTGGCTTTAGCGGCGTGGGTCCGTAATTACCAAATTGGAACCATTAGACCGCACCTCACTCCGCGGGGTTACGCACAGCAGCCATCATCATCATCGCTCCCTTACTGAGAACACTTTTTAAGGACCCCGCTGAAGGCAGAGCCACTCCGTGTCTTCCTGTGGCGGTGGCTTGGGGGTGGCCTTCATCCACCAGCAGTGGATTTATGAAGGCGGTGAGAGCCCTCGACACTTCACGTGGCCTCAAAGTGCACCTGGCCTGGCACAGGCTCCGTGCTGACCGTCACTTAGTGGCGAATGGCGGGGTATTGGTATTATTATTATTGGTGATAGTGGTGCTGGCGATGATGGTATTGTGTAATCTGGGAAGAGGAAGGAAACAACAGCGAGCGAATCGTGTGGGCATGCCCCCCCCCTTCCCCAAAGCCTTGCCTAGCAATGGGGGCAGGGCCACATGGGTGAATGGGGAGGTGGGGTCTCGCTGTTGTTTATTGTGGAGTGGAAAACTCCCCCCCCCCTTGCTCTTCTCTGCCCCCCGTGGGCTGTGGGGGTCTCCGTGGCGATGCCGGGAGGGATGACGTGGAGGGGGGGAGAGCGGGAGAGAGGAAAAAAAACCCAGGCGCGCTAAGCACTGCGCCACCGCTCCCGCGAGCCCCAGACTCGGCACGGGACAGGAGGTCGACACCACCCAGACGTGTCCTGGTGGTGGGTCGGGTGCTGGGTGGGGCTTTGCTCCCCCACCACCACCACCACCACACAAACGCATAACGATAGATGATTATACCAATTAGCGAGAGGGAGGGGTGAGGGAAGCGGTTCAATTAGCGATGTGTGGGGTGGGTGTGGGCGGCCCAGCCCGCTGCTGCTACCGCCGCCTCGTACCCCCTCTGTTCGGGCAGAGGCCTGCGAGTGGAGAGGCCCCTTCAGAGGCCCCATCAATGGCGTGAGCGAGCCGTTGCAGGGCTGCGCCTTTGCCCCTCTACACACACACACACAGCTCTCTCCCCGTCTCTCCTCCCCGTTCGTCTCCAGTTGCACCGTGCGTTGCCCGTAGACACACACACGCGTATACGTGCATACACACACGCGTACTGTTCACACATATACACGTGCATACACACACGTACGGATACACGTGTGTATATGTACGTGTGTGTGTGCGCACGCACACGTGTGTGTGTATATACGCACACACGCGCAGCCCCTCCTGTCAATCCACTGCGGGACGAGACCCGTGGTGGTGGTGGTGAATGTGAGCGGGGTGGTTGATTCACCACCGTTCGCCCGGTACCTGCACGTCCACGGTCAGGGGTCCCGCGTCCTCGAAGTCCGCGATCAGAACGGCGCTCGGCTCGCAACCCCCGCGCCGCGCGGGCATCGCGGGGGGCCGGGGAGACGCGGCCAGGGCCGGCCCGGGGAAAGGAGCCCACCAGCTCTTGACGATGCTGCTGCTGCTGATGAAGCCGGCCCGGCGGGGACGGCTCCCGGTTGGCTCCACGCGAAATCCTGCTGGAGTCCGGCCGCTCGGCGTGCGTGACGAGGTTGTGTAAGCTCCGTGCGAAAGCGCGCCGGCTTATAGAGGAGGTGGTTGGTGGTGTCTGTGTTTGAAAGCGCACCGGCAGATAGAGGAGGTGGAGGAGGGCTCGACAGGGCCCGGGACGCAAGGGGTCTCTGCTAACTCGGGGCCGCGCCTGCTGCTGTCCGCGTCGCTCTCAGCTCGCCCGGCTATAAAGCGCGCGTCACCGCTCGCCGCTCACGCGTCACTCTCCACCCCCCCTCTCCTCCCCCCCCTGCCCCCCTCTCTCCTCCCTCCCCCTGCCCCCCTCTCTCCTCCCTCCCCCTGCCCCCCTCTCTCCTCCCTCCCCGCGGGGTGGCAGAGGGAGACGACGCGCAGTCAAGGGCGTCGCGACTCTCAGCGCGAGCGGCAGCGCAGTGCCCCTCCCCCCACCACCAATACCCCGGGTCCCACGTGGCCCCGGGGTCCCACCCCCCACCCAATCATCCAGCAGTGGAGCAGGATGGGTGGGCGGTGGAGCGAAGTACAGAGAGGCGTGCGGGACTGCTCGCTAGCAGCACTTGCCGAAATAATTTCTTCAGGCTATACGGGTGGCCTTTGTCTTTGTGTGTGCGCGTGCGAGTCTGAGGAGCGGTGGTACAGTTGTTAGCGCGCTGCGCTACGAACCCGGCGACCCAAGCTCTCTATTCCCGCTAACGGCCAATATCAGTGACTATAATATGAACCGGTACCAAACCTCCCCTAGATCGGCTCAGCCTCAAATGAGTACCTGGCGCGGTGTGTAAACATCACCATTGGGGAGACAAAGGCGGCCGTGCGTGGTGTTGGCCACCCCAACGTCTCTGTTAGCGAGGAGCACACGTCTCGTGTGCTCCTCGCTAACAGCACTTGCCCCAGCCGTCTGTAAAGGCTATACGGGGGATCTTTGTGTGGCGCAGAGACACGACGGAAGCATATAACTACAGCACAACAATGGGTATTGCTGGACTGCAGTCTAGTGCCCACCACGCAACCCCGCAGTAGCCTATAACACCCTGCTATGCACGGTAGTCACCCATCCAAGCACTGTCCAGGCTCAACACTGCTCAGCTTCCGAGAGCAATAGGTTCGTAGGCTTTTCATTGATTCGTTTTTTTCTTCCTGGAAAAGGCCAGGTCGTTGAAACGTCGAAACATCCTCGCAGTGACTACACGTTTAATGACAAACACATTTGGAACAAAGTGTTTGAAAGTGCGCAAGTGGCGATGGCCCTGGGACATGAAGAGGAGACGCTCACCTCATCACGCGGCGCTTTCAGATGCGCTTCTGCGGCCGTCTGGAACGCTCTTCCTTCCCATATTAGGAAGTCACTGGAGCTATGCACTTTTAAATCACCTTGATTGAAAACTCATTTTATTTAGAACTGCTCTTTGTGTTTAGTTTGGTGTCCTTACACCCGCCCCGGCACCTCCGTAGGGTGCGAAAGAAGTTCAACGTGTATACACACGCGTCCCGGTTAGCGACATCACCGGATCTGGCTGCGGAAGAGGGGCGAGAAGGAACGACGTCCTGTGGTCGAGACTGGTGACGGAGCGGTCAGGCAAAGCAGCAACAAACAGCTGGACGGATCGTTGGATCGCGTTGACCGTGTGGGATGGCGGCGGCTTTGGGCAGGGTTTCATCCAGCAGTGGATAAGACCATGGCGGATGATCAGAATCAAAAGATTTATACCGTACTGGAGGAATCTGGGTGAGCTATCAAGCTCTTTGTCACAGGTGTTCAGTAGGCGGCAGATCAGAACGTTACGGCAACAACGCAAGACAATGACGAGTGCAAAGTGGAGGAAAGGTAAATAAATCGCTCGAAGAATATACAAATAAAGCGACATTATTTTTTTTTACCAGGTACAGCCCACTGAGCTTAGTAGCTTCGTTTTTTAGAAGCGACCTGGCCACAAATGATAGCTCAACGAAGTAGCTTATCACGCGTCGACGTCGATGAGGCTTTGACATGATTCGGTGCTGCGCTGATGGGCAAACTTGCAGCCTCCCAAGCGGGGTTATCTCGGGCGAGTCTGTGAAAACATTTCCCGAACCAGGCACATCACATCCAGTATATATACACACACACGATGTTTTAGTATCGCCGTGGCTGCTCGTAATCACGTGACACCTACTGCAGTCTATCCGCCTCCAGCGATGCGGAGAGATTTGAGTGCCAAATGGAGGCCCTGCAACTATCACCGCGGCGCTTGTGCCAGGCTAGGTGCACCTTGAGACAACGTGAAGTGTGGGAGGCTCGCTGCTGGCAGGAGGTCACGGGACAGACCCATGTGGCATGGCGAGATGTTAACTACCTCGCCTGGTCTACAGGAGGTCGTGGGTTCGATCTCGACCCTGACGCCTGCTGTAGATTTTGGAGTTTGCGTGTCTCTCTCATCATCATCATCATCACACGATGACTAGGAGATGTTAACTACCTCGCATGGTATACAGGAGGTCGTGGGTTCGATCTCGACCCTGACGCCTGCTGTAGATTTGGAGTTTGCGTGTCTCTCTCCCCGTGATCGTATGCATTTTTCTCCGGGTTCTCCGGTTTTTCCCCTCCACATTTATAACCAACATCACGCGTTCAGAGTACTGGGCTCCTATAAATGTCCACGCGATAAGCCACTTCATTGAGCTATCATTTGTGGCCAGGTCGCTTTCCAGCACAGTGGGCCTTACCTGGTAAATTAAACAACTTAGTTAAATGCTGCAGTTAAATAGTTCAGGACTCTCTCAGATGCGCCACATGTCCTCCCCACTGTGCCACCTCGCGCGCGCTTTATCCGCCCGGCGCAGCGCTCGTTTGTTGTGAGCGTCGCTCCTCTTGCCCTCCGCTGTTGTTCGCGGGCGGCTGCCTCCAGCGGCCCGGCCGGTCGCCTCCAACCGCCCTGAGCCAGCTCAAACTCACGCAGCGATTGTGTGAATGCGCTTTAGAGTGGTGGCGCAACGGTTAGCGCACTGCGCTACGAACCGGGCGTCACTCGATCCTGGTGACGAACATCTTGACCCGGTTCTGGGCCTTCGCTATGTCTTACTCAGCCTTAAACGAGAGCCTTCAACAGAAACTCAACACATTTGTCAATAACACCGCATTTAAAATTACCAACAAAAAAACCAAGCGATGTTTCGGTAGTGGCACTTCTTTACACCACATAACTGGACCATTACCCGAAACGTCGCGGATTATATATTTAACATTTAAAGGCATTTGTTCAGTTCTGTGTTATTTGTTGCTTTTGCACCACTGCCAACGCAGCAACATCGCTACATAATTAGTTTACATGAGTACCAGGTGGCGGTGTGTAAACACCAGCACTGTGGGAGACAAAGACGACCGCGGCCAGCCCGTGGTGCTGACTTCATCAAGCCCAAGCGTGCGCCGTGCCGACCTTAATAGGTGGCACTCGTTAACAGCACTTGCCTTAGCGGCCCCGGTGAAGGCTATACGGGTGATCTTTATCTTTTGTTTCCTGGCGAGAGAAAATGCAACAGTGGAAAGCTGCTGGCTCGTTCCTTAAAATAACCACGCGGTCAGATGCATCGCTACCGGGCAGGAAACCACGGAGAATCACACGGTTACGCGTGTATTATGCTGTATGTATGTACAATGTTGAACTTCTTTCGCGCCGTACGTAGCCAAACGTGCTCATCGGAGGTGCGGGCAAAGGACGGCAAACTAAACACAAAAAGTAGCTCTGAGACTTGAGCCTCAACTGCTGTGACCATTAACCCAGTACAGCACACGCGCACGCCTCTGCTAATCGACTGCTGGATGACGGAGTGCCGTCGCACGCCGTGTGAGCAGGGTCGCGGGGTGAGCGGGGTGCTACGTGACCATACTTCACCACGGCTGCTTCGTTTAGGACGGTGAAGGCAAGGGAAGGCACGATGGTTACTGCATCATCACTCACATCCCTCTGCTGCTCACAACGTAGCCCCGCAATAGCCGCCTATAACAGCCAGTTGTGCATGCTGCTGCTGATAGCGGCATGCATGCGCTGTCCCCGCTGAAGCCCTGTTGAGAATCCGAGATGGGACGCGTTCCGCGTGGTGTGGTCATCGGCATTCTTCGGGTTAATGATTACGGCTCAGGACGTTCCACCACGCACACACCACCACACACACACACCACCACACACACATCACTCACACTGCCAGCAATCATACACCCCACCAGAATACACACACACACACCACTTACACTACCAGCAATCATACACCCCACCAGAATATACACACACACACACACCACTTACACTACCAGCAATCATACACCCCACCAGAATACACACACCACTTACACTGCAGGCAATCATACACCCCACCAGAATACACACACACCACTTACACTGTCAACAATCATACACACCACCAGAATACACACACACCACTTACAGTACCAGCAATCATACACCCCACCAGAATACACACACACCACTTACACTGCCAGCAATCATACACCCCACCAGAATACACACACACCACCTACACTGCTAGCAATCATACACCCCACCAGAATACACACACACACCACTTACACTGCCAGCAATCATACACCCCACCAGAATACACACACAACCACCTACACTGTCAACAATAATACACAACACCAGAATACACACACACCACCTACACTACCAGCAATCATACACCCCACCAGAATACACACACCACTTACACTACCAGCAATCATACACCCCACCAGAATACACACACACCACCTACACTGCCAGCAATCATACACCGCACAAGAATACACACACACCACCTACACTACCAGCAATCATACACCCCAACAGAATACACACACACCACTTACACTGCCAGCAATCATACACCCCACCAGAATACACACACACCACCTACACTGCCAGCAATCATACACCGCACAAGAATACACACACCACCTACACTACCAGCAATCATACACCCCACCAGAATACACACACACCACTTACACTGCCAGCAATCATACACCCCACCAGAATACACACACACCACTTACACTACCAGCAATCATACACCCCACCAGAATACACACACACCACCTACCCTACCAGCAAACATACACCGCACAAGAATACACACACACCACCTACACTACCAGCAATCATACCCCCACCAGAATACACACACACCACTTAAACTGCCAGCAATCATACACCCCACCAGAATACACACTCACCACCTACACTGCCAGCAATCATACACCCCACCAGAATACACACACAACCACCT